GAATCTGCAACATATCCGCCTGCTAAAGTAAAAATCGTTACAGCTTTTTGAACACATTTCAAATTTTAAAGTTTACGTGCACTTATAATAAAACAAGTTTTTTCAAGGGGTGCGCTTATAATCGAGGAGGGGATATAAGCGCCATATGCCAATTAGAAGCGCCAGGCGCTTATCCTAGGGTGGCGCTTATATCCGGGGGGAGACGGTACCGACCCCCAGAATCACGAGCGGGAAGATTTTCACAACGCGCACAATGGGGACTACACCTCGGCATCGAAAAGAATTACAACGCGTGGAAAATCTTCGACGTCCACTCCAAGGAAACAGTAGCAGCACGTGACGTGATCTTCTACGAACGACTCACGCTTCAGACGTACATCGCCAACTTGCACGAAAATCAGGACCCCACAGGTGGCTTTCGTGGTGACCGAGCCTTCGCCTCAGCAGCGGACGAAGCACACTGGGACGAGCAGAACGTCGACAAGGCATCAGAAGAAGCCGGACCTCTCCCGTTCTGCTCCGTCAACGTCCCCATGGACGAAGAAAATCCTCGCGAAAGCACCAACGCCGAAGTCTTCTACCACTTCGCCGACAATGGTTACGTAACACCTGCGACAGTCAACACCAACGAAGCAGAACGGATAGGGCCGAATTTCATACCCGACCTAGAAGTGGGAGATGAAGCAGCTTCTCCCGAGGACACAACTCTTCCCCGCTACTCACAGACTGGACTGCAGATTCTCGACCTCGTCACCGCAGTCCACGGCAATGCTATTCCTAAAGAGCCTGCGACGGTTCAGCAGGCTCTGGGGGGGGAACACAGGGAGAAACGGCGTGAAGCCATGGACAGAGAATTAAAAGCGCTGGAGGAACGTAACACTTGGAAAGTTGTTCCCGTAAGCGTGGCAAGGAACAAGACCATCCTCACCGGGAAATGGGTCTTCCGCATCAAAACAAAGGCAGACGGCACTATCGAGAAATTCAAAGCACGCTGGGTCGTGCGTGGATTCGACCAGGAGCACGGACGGGACTTCACCGAGACATTCGCCCCGGTCAGCCGACATACCTCACTTCGAATTCTCCTCGCGATCGCCGCTATGAAGAAGAAGAAACTACGGCAAATCGATGTCGCCAACGCGTTCCTCTACGCACCCGTCGACGCCGAAATCTTCGTCGAACTCCCACACGGTACCCACGGGGAACCTAACCAGGTTTGCCAGCTGCTGAAATCGCTCTACGGAATCAAACAAGCCCCGCGGCTGTGGCAACAGCACCTACACACTCGCCTGACTCGCATCGGATTCCGCCAACTGCCTCACGACCAAGGGATGTATCGACTCACCAAAAACGCCGACTATATCCTGCTGATCGTCTACGTCGACGACCTACTCTACATTGGCTCCACTGACGACGTCACCACCTGGTTCGAAGGGGAGCTGCAGAGGGACCTCACACTCACGGTCTCCTCTACCGTCACTCAGTACCTCGGACTCAACATCTGTCAGTAGAGCTACACTGTGAGATCCCCGATCGATCCTAGGGGGGGTTACAGGCGCGTTTGCCTGGGGGGTTATGGGCGCACTGACCCGCTACTGAAACAAGCCCTTTTATCCCAATGGTCTAGTGGTTGGGATTCTGACATGGTATCAGAGCGGTCTCGGGTTCGAATCCCGGTGTATGCATATGTTGGCCGTTGCCACTGTGCTCAGTCCTGGGCCTCCCAGTGTGGGGGGGTGTCAGTAGAGCTACACTGTGAGATCCCCGATCGATCCTAGGGGGGGTTACAGGCGCGTTTGCCTGGGGGGTTATGGGCGCACTGACCCGCTACTGAAACAAGCCCTTTTATCCCAATGGTCTAGTGGTTGGGATTCTGACAACATCCGCGAAGAAGAGAACGCGATCTATCTCAACGCCGAAAAGTATGCCGACACTATCACCAAACGTTTCGCCCTCACACCTACTACTATCTCCACGCCATACCACTACATGGCAGGGAACGACAAGGGAGGTCCCGCTCTACTCAAAACCGCCGGAATACACGACTACCAGAGAAAGCTGGGCTGCATTCTCTTCGCAGCCGTCACCTGCCGCCCAGATCTGTCCTACTCCGCAAGCCAGCTCGCTACCTATCTCAAAAAGCCCGAAGCAGAACATCTGGCGGAGCTCGACCGCGCACTCCACTACTTCGTAAGCACCTCAACGATCGGTCTGACATACTACAAGAATACAACTACACCGGCGAAACTAATCGGCTACGTCGATGCCGATCACGCCGGCGACTCAGACAACAGGCGCTCCCGCACTGGCTACATCTACCGCCTCGAACCTATCGGACCTATCTCCTGGCAATCGAGCAAACAGGAACTAATCGCTCTCTCTTCAGCTGAAGCAGAATATATCGCCCTCTGCTCAGCCACCAAGGAAGGACTCTATCTTCGCGAGCTGCTGGAAGAAGCGAAGTTAGCCGAGTTACCCAACTTCACTCTGTTCTGCGACAACCAATCTGCGATTCGCATTGCCAACAAGAGCGGATTCGCGAATAGAACGAAGCATATCGCTCTGCGATATTTCTTCGTGAAGGACGAGATCGAGAAAGGGAAACTCGAACTATCCTACTGTCCCACGTCCGAGATGGCAGCTGACTACTTGACCAAGAAGCTCGGAAAACAGAAGTTCGAGTACTGCATGCTGCTGACTGGACAAAGCCACGTCACCATCAGCGACACTCCAGAAGCGAAGGGGAGTGTTGGGAACAAATAGTCTTAAGCGCCTCTGTAGTGTCGAAACTTCAAGACACAAGCGAAGCACCGGAAATCGAAGCACCAGCGAGTCAACCCTTGGTGGTTGATGTAACCGCTGGAGGTTACGAGAAAGTCAAAGGTCAGCGACCCTTGACCTGACAAATGCAGCGCGACAGCAAGGACATACAACTGACTCGACATTGAGCAGTTGCCCGAGTCGCACTGTATCGAACCGCAACAGTAAAGTAGTTACAATTATGTCTCTTCATATTCTCTGTACTCATATATATATTCCTGTATCTCTTTGCTTTAATCAACTTACTTTGCCCTCACATACTAGCGCAAGGTGGTTCAAGGACTTTATTCAAAACGCTTCCGCTACTACATCGTTTACTCAGACTTTAACTCTACTAAAGATCCTAGGGCGCTCAGCCCAACAAGCGGGTGGGGTAGTGTAAGGAAAAATCCTTTTCCTTACTTCGCGTCCCCGCTCAGCGCGGACACCACTTTAGCACCACAGTCAGCACTGTTACCACTCGCGACTCTCGCATCGACAATCCTCCCGCCACCTTCGCACGTCGCATCCCGACCTCACCGCTCGGCGAGTAACCCGCGCTCCGGGCCTCCGCTTCGACACTTTTCCCAACCTCAGTCCCAGGCCTGTCACGCGACAACCACAGTCCATTACCGTTACCACTGTAGTTTCGCTATATATTATTCGCTCATGCCTTCCCTCATTGTATTCTTGCTTCGATAGTGCAATTCTCGTTCGTTCACTCGATTGCACTCGCAACACTCAACCACTAGTGAGTATAAACATACAGAGTATACGGGATTTGAGAACCTCGCTATGCCAACCTTGACCAGATTTTTTGGAAGGAAAAGCCCGACCAGAGCTTCTAGGGTTTCGCCAAGTTCTACAATTATCTCCTTAGTATCGCGTCCTTACAAGCAATAACTTCACGACAACAGCCATGGCGGGCGTCCCTCCTGTACCGGGATCTGGGCGCGGCCGCGGAATGACTCTTCCTGCATGGATGACGGGTGCGTCCTTCACCTCTCGCCATTCGTTTCTCCGCCTAATCCTGATCGATTTTACATGCATTGCCACTCTTAGATACAGATCTCTGCTTTTATGCGATGTGTCAGTCTACACGTATGGAATGTAGGTTCTGAAAAAAGGAAAAAAATCTCTTCATGCATCGCCCTCCTGTGCTTCCACCTTCGTTCGTCCCCACACTCCGTTTCATTCACCGCACACCTTTTCGATCTCCGCACTCCCCTTGTCGCACGCTACTCACATCCGATATTACCGCTCTTTCCTCCTATTCCCCGATAAGCCCCAGGCGGCAAGTCTATGCCACCAGTTGGAGCGCCGGCCGCTGGCGCGGCTCCCGGAGCAGCTCCAGCGACCGCCGCTCCTTCCGGGGGCGGCAACGCTCCGTCGCCGTCCCCGCCTGCTCCCTCGATGGCGCACGACGACTCCAAATCGCCCGCCGTCGTGAGGATCCCGCACCCGAACCACGCGCATCGCAGCATTCATGCACAACGCGCGCACCGCAGCATTCATGCACAACGTGCGCACCGAGTCACGACGCTTCCAGTTCCGCCTGAGATGCGATGAATTACTTTGCGACACAGTTTCGTGTTTCTTCTGCGATCGTCTTGTTTGACTTTTGACGTTTGACGTTTGGCTATTTGCGTTTTGGCGTTTGACGTTTCCCGTTTCACATACAGCTATCTGTGCGCCTATTCTCCCCCGCATCCGTATCGTCCCGCCATCCTCCCCCGCATCCTCCTCCGCACCTGCATTTTGCGTGACTGCGTTGCACCCCTCCCGCGTCTCACTTCCCCCGAACCCCAACCCTCCGCTCCCGTCCCCCCACCTTCGCCCCAGATGGGTCGCGGAGCGCCGCCCATGCACGCGGCGGGTCGCGGGGGGCCTATAGGCGCGCCTCCCATTGGCGGTCCCCCGCAGCCTTCCCCCGGCGGCGGTTTGTTGCCCGGGCCTGCAGGCCGCGGACAGGTGAACATCTCTTTGCGCCTGCTGACTTTCCTCCTCTCGCGTCCCCCTCCTTCCGCTCCTCTCCGCCGTTTCCACCCCGTACCTCCTTTCGCACCCCGTCCTTCCTGCTCTTACACTGTCCTTATTCACATCACCCGACACCCGCTCGCCCCTCATTGCAGTACCAGCCGCCAGGAGCGCCAGGAGCTCCGGGAGCGCCGGGAGCGCCGGGAGCACCGCCGGGCGCGCCAGGCATGGGAGTGCCGCACCTGCCGCCGGGCCCAGGACGCACTCAGCCACCGCCCCAGCAGCCGCCAGGGCAAGCCCCTCCGGGACAGCAGCAGGCGCAGGGGCAAGGGCCGCCGGGAGCGCCAGGCGCGCCGGGAGCACCGGGCGCACCGGGAGCGCCAGGAGCTCCCGGAGCGCCGGGAACAGCAGCACCAGGGGCGGGGGGACCAGGCGGACCTGCCCCTCCCGGCGCTCCTTATGGCGCTCGCCCTGGCGGGCCCCCGCTTCCCCCTGGCGCCCCCCCTCAGGTGCGCGCACCCTCTGCTCGCGCGCCCCCCCACCCCCTCACTTGCGTCCTTCCCTTCCCTCACTCCCCTCTGCCAGCCCCACATTCCCTCCCTCCCTCCTTCCTGCCTCCGTCCCTTTACCTTTCCTCCTTCCTGTCGCTAGCCTGATCCTTCCCTCTCTCCCTAGCTCCCTCTTTTCTCCCTCCTGCCCGCAGCCCGCGTCCAACCGTCCGCTTTCCTTTGCTTTCCTGGCTGACTTGCCTTCTCACTTGTCATGTCATCGCTCTGTTCCTTCTCTTCAATCGTAACCTATCTTCCCCCATCTTCCCCCCTCCCCCTTCGCAACCTCCCGCCTTCCACAGGGGCACTACGCCTCTCCCCAGCAGCAGTTCCGCCCGCCCTACCCAGGCGCCCCTCCGCCGCGCCCCTTCCCCCCGCTTCCCCCGAACGCTCCGCCCGGCCACCTTCCCCCGTACGGCGCGCAAGGGCACCCCCAACAGTACCCCGGGCAGCACCAGCCGCACCCGCAGTACCCCGGCGCCCCCGGCCAGCCCCCCCAATACCCCGGCCAGCAGCAGCAGCAGCAGCAGCAGCAGCAGCAGCAGCAGCAGCAGCAGCAGCAGCAGCAGCAGCAGCAGCAGCAGCAGCAGCAGCAGCAGCAGCAGCCGTACCCGTCCTACCCCCCCATGCCCGGTCACATGCCCGCCCCCGGATCCTACCCCCCCCAGCAGCACCCGCCCCATCAGCAACCGCACTGGCAGGTGCCCGGCGCGCCTGCGCCAGGGGGAGCGCAGGGGGGGCCTGGCGCTGGAGGGGCGCAGGCAGCAGCGCAGGGCGCGCCTGGGGGGGCAGCCCCTGCTGCCACTACTGCTGGAGGGGTGAGTGAGTGGGTGACCGACTGTAACGATTCCCCCATTTACCACGACTTTCCTTCTCCCTTCCTTAGTCCACCCTATTGTTTTCCTTGACCTTGTAAGCCCAGTGAAAGGCTTTTCTCTGTAACGCATCATATCATCGTCCCTCTTCGCTCTTCTCCCCTGCCTTCGAACCACCCGCTTCACCCTCCCCCTCCCCCCCTTGCTGCTCCTCTTCCGCAGGTGCCCCTCCCCCAGATGCCACCTCCCGCCACAGCAACACCCGCCCCCGCGGCCACGCAAGCCGCACCTGGGGGAGGCGCAGCTGCTGCCCCAGCGGGCGCTACGGGTACCGGGGGCGGAGCGGCGGCGGAGTGGCAGGAGTACACAACTCCGCAGGGGCGCAAGTATTTCTTCAACAAGCGCACGCAGCAGTCCAGCTGGGAGAAACCCACTGACCTCATGACTCCCAGCGAGGTGCGTGGGTCAGCTGCAAGGGGTGCGGGAATGCGAGTGGGGGGGAGGAGGATGCATGGTGATGTGGGCGTGGGAGTGGCAGGTATCTTCAACACCGCAGGGGCGCAAGTACTTCTTCAACAAGCGCACGCAGCAGTCCAGCTGGGAGAAACCCACTGACCTCATGACTCCCAGCGAGGTGAGCGGAAGGGGGGTTGTTGACAGGAGGCAAGGGAAGGACTGTGGGGGTGGCAGGAGTACGTGACTCCGTAGGGGCGCACGTACCTTTTCAACAAGCGCACGCAGCAGTCCAGTCCAGCTGGGAGAAACCCCCTGACCTCATGACGCCCAGCGAGGTGGGTTAGAGGGGGGGGGTGAGGGAAGAGGTTCAGCTGCCACGTGGGGGGAAGCGTGGGGGCGAGTGGATGGATGGATACGAGCCTGTGGGAAGGTGAAGGGGGGTGGGTGAGGAATTGTCGGAGTGGCACGACGATGCAGGGGCGCAAGTGCATTTTCAATAAAGGCACTCCCATCCCCTCTTGCCCCCTTTTGCCCCCTTTTGCCGCTCTGTATTTGCATCTGCCCTCCCACACACTTGGTCACTGTCGTGCCTCTCTGCAGCGTGCGGATGCGACAACAGTGTGGAAGGAGTTCACGACAGCGGAGGGGCGAAAGTGCGAGTAGCTAGTGCAACGCCCCTCATTCCTCTCCCCTTTACGCCCCCTCTCACAGCGTGCGGACGCCACAACAGTGTGGAAGGAGTTCACGACAGCGGAGGGGCGAAAGTACTTCTTCAACAAGATCACCAAGCAGAGCACGTGGACCATCCCCGCTGACCTCAAGGTGCGCCGGGCCATGGAATGGATAATACATGTGAGTACTGGTCACCTGTAGGTCCTTGCGTGCGTGAGGCAGCTGGTAGATGTGCCAGAGTGGTGTTTCTGTGTGTGCCTCATGAAGCTCACCAAGCAGAGCACGTGGACCATCCCCGCTGACCTCAAGGTGCGCAGCCACTGTGGTAGGCTGGGTTTGTCAACCGGCTGTCACCCAATCAGCAGTTTTTCTTTTCTTTTCTTTTCTTTTTTCCTGCTTCTGTTGCTGCTGCTCATCCGACAGTGCTTGTATTTGTACTGGCACCAGCAGCAGCACCCTTGCTAGTTGGTGTCTGCACGTCACCTCACCTCATGCACTCTCGTGTCTCCCTCTACCGCCTGCAGGCCGCACGGGAGAGGGCTGCCGCAGAACAAGCAGCAGCGGCAGGCACAGCCGCACCTCCCGCCGCCGCTGCCGCCGCCGCTGCCGCCGCCGCTGCCGCTGCCGCTGCCGCTGCTCCCGCTGCTGCCGCCCCCGCTGCTCTCCCCGCAGCACCCGTGACACCAGTAGCACCAGTCATGCCAGGAGCACCCGGAGCAGCAGCAGCAATGGCGAGTGTGGTGCCCCCCCTGCCAGGTGTCCCCCCACCCACCGCCGCACCAGGAGCTGTACCTCCTGCTGCCTACGTGTACACGCCTCCTCTCCCAGGGATGGCGCCGTTGGTGCCAGGCGCAGGGCCGCTGGGTGCTTCCCCTGTGCCGCTTGCTGGTGTTCCTCTGCCTGCTGCCGCTGCTACCGCGCCTGGAATGGCTGCCGTGACCCCGTGAGTGCTGCTTACACAGGGGAGTGCAGTGCAGCCCAATACGCCCAGCTCCCGTCCCTTTCTCCCTCTCCTTTCCCTAGCTCACACATTGGCCCTGCTCTGCTGCTGTCGCAAATGCTCAATTCGCTCAACTCAACTCCTGTGCCTCCCTCCCCCTCCTCTTCTCCCAGTTGCTGCTGCTGCTGTCGCACATGCCCAATCCGTTCTACTCCCGTCCCTTCCTCCTCCTCCTCCTCCTCCTCTGTTGTTTGCAAGCAGGCCGCTTCCGCCTGCTGCGGCCACACAGGCACAGGTACAACCAGCTCAAGCTGCAGCAGAGGTGTGTGTGGTGCGGTGTACAGGCGTACAGTGTGGTATGGTGGTTGGCTTGGCTGTTTCTTGCGTTTCACTTGTAGACCCTCAAATTGAAATTCCAAACACGCAGTTGTTGGCTTGTTCATGAAGTGTACCCATCACGTCACGTTAAAGTTACTGGACAATAGAGAGCCACATATATTGGTCAAGAAATTTATCAATGCATCTATCAGCTTCACGCCCATCACCCCTGTAACCGGTCACCCTTCTTCCTGCACCCTATCTTCTCTACCATCCCCTTTTCCCTTCAACCTGTCAATCAGTCCAAGACAGCAGCAGCGATGGATCAACATCACACCCATCCATCCCGCCTGTTCCATTTCCTATCCCCCCGCCCTCCCCCTTTCCTTTCTGTCCGCTTCGTCTTGACCAGGCCAAGGGAGCGCCAGGAGTGAGCAAGATCAATCAACATCACACCCATCCATCCCGCCTGTTCCATTTCCTATCCCCCCGCCCTCCCCCTTTCCTTTCTGTCCGCTTCGTCTTGACCAGGCCAAGGGAGCGCCAGGAGTGAGCAAGATCAACATCACGCCCATCACGGAACCCAAGCCGCCTCCCGCCCCTGTGGGCGAGCCTGTCTATGCTACCAAGCAGGTGCGTCAGGGTCCAGTGTTTAGGTTAAGGGTTTCGTGTTTTGGTGTTTAGGCTCTCATCCCAGGCTCCTGCCTTCATGCTCCTCCCTTCATTCTCCCGCCCTCATTCCCCTGCTCTCATTCGCCTCCCCCTCGCGTTGCCTGCCTATCCTTCTTCTTTCAACCCACGGGAGGCGAAGCTGTCGCTATGAAGCTGCTGGGGGTCGTGAAAGGCCTTTCACTCTCCTCTTTGCCTTGCCTCTCATCCCCTTTCCCCCTCATTCCCTTTGTCTCCCATTCCCTTTGTCTCTCATTCCTTCTTCACCAATGATAGGAGGCCAAGGCAACGTGCAAGGAGCTGCTATCCCTCACTGTCGTGAAAATCCGTGTTCTTTCCTCCTCGCACTTGCTTCCCACTCACTTCCTTTCTCATTCCCTTGATCTCACATTCCCTTGATCTCACATTCCCTCTTTACCATTGGCAGGAGGCCAAGGCGGCGTTTAAGGAGCTGCTGGAGGCGGTGGGGGTGACGTCAGAGGGCACGTGGGATCAGGCGATGAAGAAGATCATCAGTGACAAGCGATACGGCGCTCTCAAGACGTTGGGGGAGAGGAAGCAGGCCTTCAATGAGGTATGTGGCATGTAATGTGGGAGCAAGCGAGGCATGAGAGGGGGTGGGGGTGGCATGAGAGTGACAGAGGGCACGTGATATCAGGCAATGAAGAAGATCATCAACGACAAGCGATACAGCGCGCTCAAGACGCTGGGGGAGCGCAAGCAGGCCTTCAACTAGTGTGGGAGCAAGTGAGGCATGACAGTTGGGTGGGGTGATATCAGAGTGACAGAGGGAATTTGGGAGTATGCAATGAGGAAAATCATCAGTGCGAAGCGATATAGCACGCTCAAGACGCTGGGGGAGAGGAAACAGGCCTTCAACGAGGTGTGTGGTGGTTAGAGCGAGAATTTTTTATCTTCACACTTCCGCTTGCACCTGCTGAACCACGGTAGTCTTTGCCTTTTTAGTGCCTCTCTCTTCCTTTTTGTCCTCCTCCTACTGCTCCTTACAGCAGTATCTGATGCAGCGCACGCAGCAGGAGGCTGAGGATAATCCAGTGAAGCACTCTTACTCTTCCTCCCTTCTTTCCCCGCTCCTTTTTCTTATCCCCCCTGGCCCACAGTACATAACGCAGCGCAAGAAGCAGGAGGCGGAGGAGAAGCGGCTGAAGCACTCTTCCTCTCACTCCCTCTTCCCCCTTCTTCTTCCCCCCCCCCCCTCTTATCCCTCTTCTCCTTTTCCCTCACTTTCCCATCCCGCAGTACATAACGCAGCGCAAGAAGCAGGAGGTGGAGGAGAAACGGCTGCGGCAGAAGAAGGTGCGCGAGGACTTCATCGCCATGCTGGACGAGTCCAAGGACCTCTCCTCCTCCATGCGCTGGCAGTGAGTCACTCCTGCTGACCTGGCACTGGGTTGTGCTGAGCCGGCAGTGAGTCGTGCTGCGCTGGCAGTGAGTCATTCCTTTTGTGATCTTGACAGTGGCACACACCTTGATCATGCTCGCACAAGTGATGTATGCATGCATCCATGCTGCTCCCACCTGCTGCTGCCGCTCCTCTAGTGCTCATCCCCATCCCAGCCTGCTGGTGTGCTTCCTCAACCAACCTCCGCCTCCCTTCCCGCCACACCCCCCTTTCTTCCCCCACTCCCCTCAGGAAAGCGGCTCCCCTGTTTGAGAAGGACCTGCGGTGCGTGGCGGTGGAGTCGGAGAGGGAGAGGGAGGGGGAGGAGCGACTACTACAGCTTCTTTATTCACCCTCCCCTCCCTCCCCTTCCTCCCACCTGCACCCCTACCCCCCACTCCCTTCCCCCCCTCCCAGGAAAGCGGCGGCGCTGTTTGAGAAGGACCTGCGGTGCGTGGCGGTGGAGTCGGAGAGGGAGAGGGAGGAGCTCTTTGACGACTACCTCGTTGACCTCGTCAAGAAGGTGAGCTGACTCCTGTTGACTCGCGTTGACTGGTGTTGACTTGTGTTGACTCGCTGTGGAGTCGGAGAGGGAGAGGGAGGAGCTCTTTGACGACTACCTCGTTGACCTCGTCAAGAAGGTGAGCTGACTCCTGTTGACTCGCGTTGACTGGTGTTGACTTGTGTTGACTCGCTGTGGAGTCGGAGAGGGAGAGGGAGGAGCTCTTTGACGACTACCTCGTTGACCTCGTCAAGAAGGTGAGCTGACTCCTGTTGACTCGCGTTGACTGGTGTTGACTTGTGTTGACTCGCTGTGGAGTCGGAGAGGGAGAGGGAGGAGCTCTTTGAGGACTACCTCGTTGACCTTGTCAAGAAGGTGAGTTTTGACTCCTGTTGACCCATGTTGACTTGGGTTGACCTTGTGTTCACGGTTGACTGCATATTGACTGTCCCGTTGGCGGAATTTTGGCCTTCCTGCCCTGAATCGGTGGTCAATGCAACGATTTTGTAAGCGCATTGGGGGGCCAGCAACAGGCAACATTGTCTCAAGGAAACCTTTTCTTAGAGAAACGATATGTTAGGCGTCTTCAAGATTGACTTGCTCCCCCTCCTCCCCTCCCCCCCCGTTGCTCCTGCAGCGTGGCAAGAGCTGGACTGAGTGAGGGAGGAGGGGAAGCTGTTGAGGGCCGTCAATGATTGACCCCCGAGTTCCCCACCTCTCATGGGCTTCACACGCCTCCTTCCTTCCTCCCTTCCCCCACTGCTACCTGTGGCGGGCAGGAGAAGGACCGAGTGAGGGAGGAGAGGAAGCGCAACATGGCGGAGTTCAAGCACTACCTCGAGACGTGCGGCTATGTCACCGTGAGTGCTGCGCTGCTTTTTGGCTCTGTCTTGAGTTCTGTGCTGCTTTGGGAGAGTGTTGGTGCATGACGGGCTGCCTTCCTTGCTGCTCCCCCTTCCTTGCGGTACCGCAAGGTGCAGGACCGGGTGGAGGAGCAGGAGAGGTGGAAGGGGGAGGGCCCCATCTCCGGCTTTGGCCTCAGCCCTCCAGGTGACTTTTGAGTCGACTCAGCCAGAGACTCAAAAGTCTCCGGCTTGGGCCTCAGCCCTCCCATCGCGTCTCTTCCCGTCGTCTCCCCTCTCCTACCACCCCTCCCACTCCCGCAATGTCTGCAGTCCGCCACGCACTACCGCAAGGTGCAGGACCGCCTGGAGGAGCATGAGAGCTGCGCCAAGCTCGATAAGATCGACCGCCTTGAAGTCTTCCAGGTGGGCGCTCAGGTCTTCCAGTCCAGGTGTGTGCTTGAGGCGGTCTTGAACCCTAATCTGCTCCGTTCTACCTTTGGGTTGTCCTGAGTCCTGTCAGGTTCAAACCAGTTTTTACTCGCAGGCTCTTCGCAAATCGCGTCTCGTTCTTGACCATTTTATTCACTGGCTAATGTTTTCTCATTTTCCGTCACTCCCTGCTCTTGCCCTTTGTTGGCTGTTGTTTGGTGCTGCTGGGTGCTGGCAGGAATTCCTTCGTGAGCTGGAGAGGAGGGAGGAGGAGGAGAGGCAGCAGAAGAGGGTAAGTTCACCACTCAATTCAAGCACACCCCATCCCCGTTAGTGCACTTCCATCATCGTGCATCAGCATCTTCCATCTCTGAAAATCGTCACTATGTCACACTCCACTGAACCCCCCTGACTCCACCCCTCCTCCCACACCCCTTCCACATCCCAACCCTCACCCCCCACTCCTCAGGAGCAACAGCGGCGCCAGGAGCGCAAGAACCGGGATGGCTTCCGGCGGCTGATGGACGAGCACAAGGCGGCGCTCACCCTCACTGCTCGCACTCGCTGGCGCGACTACGTCAACGTGGTATGTGTGGATCTACTCTATCCCTCCCATGTCAACGTGGTATGTGTGGATCTACTCTATCCCTCCCCACTTCCCCCCTTCTCCTCTTCCTGCTCACGAGCCCAGCCATGTGGTAGTCGTCATTCCTTCTAACTTCCTCCGTTGGGTGTCAAAACTTGCCACCTCCTTTCCTCCCCCTCCCTCCCCCCCTTCCCAGCCCCTTCCTGTGACTTGCGCTTGTCTCGTCCCACCCGCTCCCGTCCCCTCCTGCTGTACTTGGGCAGCGCGTCACACTCACTCCTATGGCAATTTGTTTCCCCCATTCTATCACCCATTCCATCTGCATTCCATTCCGTCCCCATTCCTCCTCTTCCTCCTGCATTTCCAACTTTTCAAACTCCTCGGTTTCCTCCCTATCTCCCCTCTCCCTCTTTTCTCTCTTTCTCCCTCCCTCTGTTCTACCAGGTGAAGGACGAGCCGGCGTACATGGCAGTAGCAGCCAACCTGGGCGGGTCAACGCCCAAGGAGCTCTTTGAGGATGTCATTGACGACCTCGACAAGCAGGTGGGGGAGGTGGCAAGCAGGTGGGCGCTGGAGGGGGAGGTCAGTACTGGGGCAGGTGGCAACTGCTGAAGGTGGTTGTTGTTGGTAGGTGCAACCTGGGCGGGTCGACGCCCAACTGTTGGAGGACGCCGTTGATGACAGAGACAAACAGGTGGGCGCCGCTGGGACTGGTGGGTACTAGGGAAGGTGGCCGCTGGGGAAGGCTGGAGTGAGTATGCTGCTACTGCTCGGGCTCTGTCACGCAAGGTCGCCTGTTGTGCTCTCCCGTGGAAGTTTCGCCCCACTTGCAGCCCTCACCTCTTGCTGTTGCCCCTGCTGCCTGCTGCTTTCCCGTGCCTATTGATTCACGTGTTCTCCTTTACTTCTTCTATTCCTTCCTGCTCCGTGTGTTTAAATCTTTCTGCTGCGTGCATGCCGTGCCGTGATTGTGTTTCCTGCTCCCTGCATGCGGTGCCTTACTGGTTCCTCTTGTGTGTTGCGTGCATGGTTGTGTGTGCCGTGCTGTGCTGTAAATCCTCCTGTGTGTGGCATTGCACGGTGGTGCGCTTCATGGTTTGAGCAGTACAAGGAGGACAAGGACAAGATCAAGGACCTCATCAAGAAGAAGAAGGTGCGTTGTAGTAATCATGGGGCTTGTCTCGTTGTCCTCGAGGCTAGAGCACGTAAGGCCTCCACCCCACCCCACCTGTCCTCTGACAAGGAGGACAAGGACAAGATCAAGGACCTCATTAAGAAGAAGAAGGTGCGCTTCTTGCTGTTCTAACCCAACCTAGACATGGGCATTTGACCCGACCCGTCCCGACCCGTCCCGTCTAGGCCGACCCGTGACGGGTTCGGGTCAGGTCGGGTCGGGTCGGCGGGTCAAGATAAGTCAAATTTAGGGTACCCGACCCGCCATAGTGGGCACGGGTCTCTGTGACCCGTCCTCGGGTAGTGTACCCTCGGGTCGGGTCGGGTCGGGTAATTATACCCAAGAAAAACTCGTCATACGCGCTGATCGACGATTTCCCCCGACGAACCGCGCGGATCGGCGATTCTCCCCACAGATCCGCACGGATTGGAATTCCTCCCCCCCCTACGCGCGGAATCGTGGATCTAAGGGCGGATGAACTTGGTTGTAGATCTGGAAGTGACGACTGTCCAGCTTTCAAATCTCAAATTGGTTGGATGATCTAGATGCAATGCGGTTAAGATAGGTGATGGGAGGGGAAATTGGTTGGAGACAGTATTGTGCACAAATTTGGCAACTGCGGAGTACAAATTTCAACTTCGACCTAGGTTTCCCTATCCACGATCTCTCCTACGCCTCCTCCTACACTATAGCTATCATGCGTCTTGTTTGCCAGCCCGATGCAGAGCCATTCGCGCACCGCTATTGCAGTCTATCCTACGATTTCCGTATCTTAACCCGATTTCGGGTCACGGGTCAACCCGACCCGTACGGGTAGGCCCGACCCGACCCGCCCGGGTCGGGATACTCAGAACACCAGACCCGACCCGGCCTTTAGGCCGGGTCGGGTCGGGTTACCCGACCCGTCCGGGTCAAATGCCCATGCCTAACCCAACCAAACCAAACCAAACCAAACCATACGTGCGCTAAACCCTTTTGAGTCGACTCAAAAGTCACCTCGTTACAATGGCACACGACTCATCAAGAAGAAGGTGCGCTTCTTGGTGGGGTGGACCTCATCTAGAACAAGTGGTTAACCAAGCCAAGCCAAGCCAAGCCAAGCCAAGCCATACGTGCGCTAAACCCTACACCCGACTCCGTCACCTCATATCCCATCACCCCCCTATCTATGTAATTCATCCAAGCCATTCATCTATCTTCCCCTACTGCCTTCTAACTCATCCCCTATTCGTGTGTCAAAATCGTTGCACCCCCCAACAGTGAGCCCCCGACTTGCTTCCGCCCTGACCCTACCCCCCTCTCTCCGATTTCTCGTGCCCTCCACCTCCCAATCTTTCTCCTCCTTCCCCCCTCCCCTCCTTCCTTTCTCCTCCCCTCCTTCCTTTCTCCTCCCCTCCTTCCTTTCTCCTCCCCTCCTTCCTTTCTCCTCCCCTCCGCGATTTCCCCCCCAGGTGGTGGTGACGTCAGCCACCACCTTCGAGGCGTTCAAGGCTGCTCTGGGCTACGCCCCTCCACCTCCCCCGCCGCCTCCCCTCGCTGCTGCTCCCGATGCTGGTGCTGGCACGGCAGTAAAGGCGGAGGCGAAGGAGGAGGGGAAGGAGGGAGATGTGGAGATGAACGGAGTGAAAGAGGAGGGGGGCGTGAAGAAGGAAGACGGAATTACGGAGGAGGGAGCAAAGGAGGGAGCGAAGGAGGGAGAGGGGGAGGCAGGGAAGGTGAAGGAGGAGCCTCAGGAGGAGGGCAAGGAGGGAGGAGAGGCGGGAGCTGCTGAGGACAACAAGACAACAGTCAAGCAGGAGGAGGGCGACAAGGCAGTGAAGCAGGAGGAGGGCGACAAGGCAGTGAAGCAGGAGGGCGCGGGCCCGGCGAAGAAAGAGGAGCAGGCGGAGGAGAGCAAGGAGGGCAAGGAGGAGGTGAAGCTGCCGCCACCGCCACCGCTGCCACCGAAAGCTGATGAGTCGACTCCTAAGGTCGCCGATATGAGCCTCAAGGTGCGATGCCGTCCCCTGCCCCGCTGCGCCTGCTGTCCCTCCTCCCTTCCTCTCCTCCTCCCCGTCCTCAAGCCTCTCCCCTACCTTTCAGCCACCATTTATCGTCATGCCCCATGCCGCTGCTGTGCCAAGGCCCTTGCCCTTGAGCCAGTTGCAAGGGCATGATGGAAAGTCACAGTTACCCACACTCACCCTCACAACCACTCAGTACCGCATGAGATATACACACACCCTGTAAGACCTGTGCGTTTTGCCACACCACAAGTGCCTGCAATGATGACTCCTGGTGGGCATCTTTTGTCTGTACATTGAGCAACCCGGGTCGACATCAACACTCGTCAGCGAGGACAGTCCTTTCATAGGGTAACCAGCAGGTAAGGGTATGATTGAATGGGAGGCATAAGCGAGATATTGCAGCAGGAGCACTGGGCGTGTCTTTGCATGCGAGAATATCTGCTGCCTTTCCACCCTTCCCCACACCACATCCCCTATCCCCGTTTTCAGTTCTTAACTCCTGCCTCCCTTCCCCCCTCCCACCTTCACCCACCTCCAATCCCCTTTGCTTCCTCAATTCTCTCAAAACCACACACCTCACATTCATCTCTCCGTTCCTGTAGCATTGTTTCTCTGTTTCTTTCCTTCTATCTTTCGTTCCTTCTTTCGTTCCACCTTTTTATTATAGAGCAATCATGCTTCTTGTGCCTCTATGTATGCATCTAATACCTGTGGCGCTTTTTGGAGCTCAGGATTGCTCTTCGTGATCCTTCCCCTCACCCAATGCAGTCACTCATTCTCTCCTCGTCCTGCTTCTCCCCTCCCCTCCTTGGTTGTGCTGTGTGTGGTGTGCTGTGGCTAGGTGCGTTGGACTGCTGCTTCGGTGGGATACGGCTCGTTGTGTGTGTGTCCTTGGCTGATTATGTGCTGTCTGCTGCATGTGGGCTGGCATGTGGGTGGGAGTGCATGTGATCTGGCTTCTTTGGTTTGACATGGCATGTGCGTGCATGTAAACCTATGTGGCGGCATGTGCATGTGCCCGTGCGCTTGCACACGCGCACAATAATGTGTGCCCTCTTGCGACCAATCATACTATGCATCTTCTCGCATCACACCATCACCTCCTCTCATCTCTACATCACACCATGCTCCCCTCACAATCCATGCTCTCTTTCTTTCGTCCACAACTTTCTTTCAACGCAACTTCCGGGAAAATACAACACGGCGAAAAACGTTTCGGTTGATATCGAATGAACGTTGTGGAAACCAACGCATGGTAACCACCATCACGTGGTAACCAGATAGTGTGGGAGGATCTGGTGGAACGAGCAGTGGAGAGGGAGGAGAAGGAGGCTCGGCGCAAGAAGCGGCTGGCAGAGGACCTCGCGGACGCATTGAGGGGCGTCAAGGGGCTCTCTGGGAGCAGCACGTGGGAGGAGGCGAAGCCACTCGTTCAGTCGCTGTCAGAATACAAGTGCGTGGTTGTTACGTGCACTAGTACAGAGAAGGTGCAGGTATGATGTAGGGGTTGAGCTATGTGACGGAAGACGCGTCTAGCGTCTTAGACGGTTGCGTTTAGACGCAGCGTCTAAGACGCTAGACGCATTTAGGTGTAGGTTAGACGCATATTAGACGGAAACCCGGGCAGGCCTAAAAAAAAGGTTCGGGCAGCCTAAAAAAACTTCCATGGGCCATGGGGAGGGTGGGGGACATGCAAATATGACCCATTTGGGTCAAATTTCAGTTGTACCAAAACCTTTTCCACATAATTTGAGTTCACAACAATCCTCATTTCTCATCATACATAGTTATTACATCCCTGCAATCACTAGGCCTCCTCCAACCTCTCCTCCTACTACTCATCCTCCTCCTCCTCCTCCGCCTCGTCCTCCTCCTCCTCATGGCCCTCCCACTCATCTATGCACACGTCGTTCTCATCCTTCTCCACCTCCCCATCCTCCTCCAATTTGTACCCCTCGGGGAGGGGAGGGGGGGTAATGGTCCCCTCCACCACCCCCCCCTTCCTTCCCACCTTCCCACTAGGCCCTGCGTCATCTGCACCCTTGTGGACATCGCGCACAACATTCTAGTTGTGCGCGATGTACACAAGGTCGCGGACCTTCTCCGACCCGAGCCGGTTCCTGCGCGCCGTATGCACTCCATCCCAGGTAGACCAGTTACGCTCGCACGGGGAAGCGGAAACGGTCTGGGAAAGCGTGCGACGCGCAAGACGCGCCAAGTCAAGGTACTCCCATCCATTGTACTGCCACCACAGCATCACGTTCCCCTTCCCCAGCTGAATCTCCTTACGCCCCTTGGCCGCGGTATCAGAGCCAAACTTCCCATCACCGTTGATGTAGGCCGTCACCGCCTCGTGCAGCGGCCGCACCGGCCCCTTCTTGCCGCGGGCCTTCCCCTAGTACGTATCTACGAAGACCTGTTGGCGCTCCAGCCACTCCTGCATGACCGTGGTGCACTCCGGGTCTTGCAGAAAGATGCCCTCCTCCTGGTTGGCCGGGTTCAAGATCCGGCCTGCCACGTGGAGGGGGCATGCCAGGCTCTCGTCCCAACGCCTCCTCAAATGCTCCCTCACCTTATCCTTATCCACCCTGCTCAGCTTGCACTCCCTCCCATCCAGCAGCTTATCCAACTCCTCTGTCAATTGCAGCATGATGTCGTATAGCTGACCCATCATCCCCTTCGCCGCTGAGTCCGTCCTCCACATCACGATGTAGAACACCTCCATCAGCTGCACGAAGAAGTCCACCTTCTTCCACCACGCCGTGTCGCTCACCCACCCCTCGAAATCCGCTCCCGTCAGCGTGTCCCCCCCCTTCTCCGCCCAGTCCTTGTGCGCCACCATCGCCTGCAGCTGGGGGCGAATCTCGCGCAGACGAGACACTGCGATGTACTGCGTTCCAAAGCGCGTGCCTGCCGTGCGCAGGGCCTGTAGCGATTTCTTCTCGCCGTGCATCTCCGGGAGCCGCAGGAACGCCCGCGTCCACTGGTGACTGCGCACGAAGTTGATGATGTTGTCGGCCTGAGTCACAATCACCTGCGCCCAATCCATCTTGCCGATGTCCTCCATCAACAGATCCATCACGTGCGTGGCGCAGAGAACGAGGTCGAGATGCGGCCACTCCTTTTGCAGCAGCTTGCCAGCAGCTTTGTAGTTGCTGCCGCCGTCCGTGCACAGCGCGACGACGTGCTCGGCCCCGATGCGCTCGATGATTGGCTGCAGGACGCCAGCGATGGACGAGCCACTCTTCGTCGCAGCCTTGCAGTCAACCGCCTCAACGAAGACAGCTCCAGTGTCGTTGATGCATATGACGTTCATCTGCGCGCGTCCGCTCGTGTCTTGCATCATGTCGCTGGAGATCGTCACGCCCGTCTCCCTCCACGACTTCGTAACGGGCGACAACGCCTTCTCGATCCGTTGCTTGCAGTCTTGCAGGCCGGCGCCCCCGACGTAGTGCCGCTAGGGGGGAACATATCCCTGGCCGGCGGCGGCGACGGCGCGCAACATGTTGAGGAAGAACGGGTGCTCGCACTGGCGCTCCAATGTGCGCGTCCCCGCGAGGTAGAGGACAATCGATTCGTCGGCCGCCTTCTTCGCCGCCACGCCACCCTCGCCGTAGAAATCGTCCATGCGCCCGCGCTTCCTCGCCTTCTCTCCCGCCGCGCTCTTGCCGCTCACCGAAACGAGCGCCGAATCCGTGGCCTTCGCCTTTTGGTTGCGCGCTCGAATTTTCGCTTCGAACATCTCGCGGATCTTGTTCGAAACCTCCTTCGGCACATCCTTGCAAACGACTCCCGCCTCGCGTCGGCGATGAGGATCGTGCCACTCGGCAAGGTGCTCGGGGCAACGGCTACTACTCCAAGAAAACTTCTTGCCGCAAAACTCACACTCCACTTGGTCGCCGTTTTTCTTTGGATCCGTAAAATAGTAGTAATGCTTGTAGATCGGGTGTTCGGGATACTTTTTCTTCTTCGCAACTCCTTCCATTTCCTTGGAAACACGAGCGGAAGAACCCTCCCCCACGGCATCGCCATGCGAGGAGGCAGAACTAGACGACGAACTAGGAGACGACATGGTTCGAGAGGGAAGTAGCTAAACCCTTAAGGGTTTTTGAAAGAGAATTTGGTAGAAGTGAAAGATGGGAAGCACAAATGGGGGATTTGTGCTTCCCAAGCTCTTGGTGGTTTGCCATCAAGGTTGGGTTTTCTAGATGCTATGCGGTTGAGAGAGGTGTGTGTTCAATTTTGGTTGAAGGAATTTCAACTTTGCATGAGGGGCCTGTTTCTTAGGTCGAAATGGGTGGGAGGGGGTGCAAATGTCGCGAAATTGAATTTCGCATCGAAATCGCGAAATTCAATTTTGGCGTCGGGAGTTTTTTTTTCGGGCTGACCGAAAAATTTCCTCCCAAGCGTCTAGCGTCTAAACACGCGTCTAGCGTCTAGCGTCTTCCGTCACATAGGGGTTGAGGCGCAAGAAGCGGCTGGCAGAGGACCTTGCGGTCGCCCTCAGGGGCGTCAAGGGGCTCTCAGGGAGCAGCACGTGGGAGGAGGCTAAACCGCTCGTTCAGTCGCTGTCAGAATACAAGTAGGTGGTTTTGTGTTGTGGTAATATGTTTAGGGTTTTCACGGACTTTGTATTGTGTTGTAGCAGTATGCTGCACAAATACAAGTCAAGTGCATGGTAGTAGCGCAATAGCACCGCCCACTGGCTCGTTTCGAGACGTGCTTTGCAGAGACGTGTGTGCCTTTCTCTCCCGGTGTGGTTTGAGTCGACTCAAATGCACCTGGCTGACGTTATGTGCGACCCCCCTCTCTCCATTTGTGTCTTACGGAGAGGCGCAAGGTGGTGGAGGAGCACATGGCTCGGCTGCTTTCACTTGTGTGCCACCGCTCACTCGCCCGCTCTCTGTCCTTGTCCCTGTGTGCGTGTGACAGGGCGATACCGGAGGATGCGGAGAGGCGCAAGGTGGTGGAGGAGCATGTGGCTCGGCTGCTGCACAAGGAGAAGAAGAGGGAGAAGGAGAAGGAGAAAGAGAAGGAGAAGGAGAGGAAGAAGAAGGAAGAGAAGGTGATGAGTTCGAGGGTCTTGCCTCAATGATGTTGCACTGCTCTTTTATTCAAGCATTGAGTTGAGTTTTTAAGTGTCTCTATGTAGGCTGTTGTGGGACGGTCCCTTGGTTGGGTTCTGCTACCTCATCTGCCTTTTGTGCATTCCTCCACCTCTTTCCTTCCTTTCCACTGTGATTCCACTTGTTCTTTCCTTCCTTTCCACTGTGATTCCACTTGTTCTTTCCTTCCTTTCCACTGTGATTCCACTTGTTCTTTCCTTCCTTTCCACTGTGATTCCACTTGTTCTTTCCTTCCTTTCCACTGTGATTCCACTTGTTCTTTCCTTCCTTTCCACTGTGATTCCACTTGTTCTTTCCTTCCTTTCCACTGTGATTCCACTTGTTCTTTCCTTCCTTTCCACTGTGATTCCACTTGTTCTTTCCTTCCTTTCCACTGTGATTCCACTTGTTCTTTCCTTCCTTTCCACTGTGATTCCACTTGTTCTTTCCTTCCTTTCCACTGTGATTCCACTTGTTCTTTCCTCTTCCCCTCTCTCGGATCACATCTCAACTCCTTCTGTTACCACCTTACCACCTCATCTTACATTCTCCCTCTTGCCTGTGCCTGTGCCTGTGCCTGTTCCCGTGTCCGTGCCTGTGCCTGTGCCTGTGCCTGTGCCTGTGCCTGTGCCTGTGCCTGTGCCTGTGCCTGTGCCTGTTCCCGTGCCCGTGCCTGTGCCTGTGCCTGTGCCTGTGCCTGTGGATTTGCAGGCGAAGAAAGAAGAAGAGAAGAAGGAGAAGGAGAAGAAGGAGAAGGAAGAGCGGGAGAAAGAGAAAGAGGAGAAGGAGAAGAGGAAGGAGAGAGAGAAGAAGGAAAAGGAGGAGAAGAGGGAAAAGGAAAAGGAGAAGGAGAAGGAGAGAGAGAAAGATAAGGAAAAGGAGAAGGAGAAACGGGAGAAGGAGAAGGCGAAGGAGAGAAGCAAGGAGAGGAAGGGAGAGGAGAGTGAAAGTGATTCTGAGAAGGTAAGTGAGGATCGGAGGAGCAAGGACAAGGAGAGAGCAAAGAAGGATAAAGGCAAGGAAGCAGAGGGAAGCAAAGAAGATAAGGCGAAAGGGGACGAGAAGGATAAGAGGGATGGGGCTGAGGACAAGAAGAAGAGAGATGGGGAGAAGAAGAGGAAGGATAGGGGAGAATCGGATGAGAGCGAGGGAGAGGAGGAAGAGCTAGAGGATGGAGAGGACAGGCCTAGGGGCAGCAAGCAGGCGAGGAAGAGTGGTGATGTGTCTGATGAGGAAGGGGAGGAGCGCGCGAAAGGGAAGGAGTTGGAACGATCGAAGGCAAAGGAGAAGAGGAAGGAGCACAGGAGGAGGTCTAGGAGGGACGAGAGTGAGGATGAGGATGAGGAGGATGAGGAAGAGAGGGAGAAGGGTGGGAAGAAGCGAGAGAAGAGGGATAGGGAGGAGGAGAAAGAGAAGAGTCGATCCAAGGATAAGCGAGAGAAAGATGAGAAGGACGAGAAGGGGAAGGGGAAGGAGAAGGAGAAGGATAGGGAGGAGAAGAAGAAGGGGAAAGGGAAGGACGATAAGGAAAGGGAGAAGGAGAAGGAGAGGAAGCACAGGAGGAGGCATCGGGATGATGAGGAGGATGAGGACGAGGAGGAGGATGAGAAAGAATCTCGCAGGTCCAAGCGTAGCAAGGGCAGCAGCAACCACCGGCGGTCCTCCCGCAAGGTAAGGACGGCTCTCTGTTTGCCTCTCTGACAGCAGGCCAGAGGACAGCAGGCACAGGAGCAGGGAGTGTGCTGTTTGAGACACGTCATCTTTTGAGTCGACTCAAAAGCAGGCTCGAATCGCCCACATTCCCCCTCATCTATTTGTTCTGTTCCTTGATTGCGTGGCAGGACCATGAGAGTGACAGTGAGTCAGAGGACAGCGGGCACAGGAGCAAGGAGCGTGAGAGGAAGCACCGCAGCAGCAAGTCCAAGAAGTCGTCACACCGCTCGCGAGCAGATGAGGATCTGGAGGATGGGGAAGTGGGTGCATGAAGGAGTTGGCTAGGCAGGCACAGGAGCGGGGAGTGTGTGGGACAGCATGCAATACAAGTGTTCTGTCACACCGCTCTTGCGTGTTTATGATGACGTGTAGGATGGGGAAGTGGGGTTGTGACTTGTGTTGACAAGGCAGGCACAGGAGCAAGATGGTTGGAGTCATGACTGGACGCGAGAGCTGGAATCGCACGTCCCTGTGTGATGCATGCTCTGGGGTGGGATTTGTGATGTGCTATTAGTGATAGCTGAAATACGGGGTGGACCATTGAGAGTCTTCGCTAACCTAGGATTTGTAGAGCTGTTTTTGGAATATATGGGAATACTGGTAGTGTTGGTCCTTTTGTGACCGAATTTTCGCTCTTAAAGCCCAGCCCCCGAATTACCGAAACGCCTTCACAAACTGGGCCCAGTTTATGTCTCGCCCCTTCTGGTTTCGGGGAAGAGAGGTTTAGGAGAGGTTTTCGAACCTCAACACTCTGCTTTCCCAAACCTATTTTCCCGCGTTGACCTCCGTTGAGTAATTCGGGTGTTGCCCTTTAATATCGCATATACAGCACGGCATCTCCTATCCAGCAGGGCAGTTCCCGAGGGTCAAGTTGGTCAAAGTGCTTCCTATTCAGCCCCAGTCCCCAACGAAATCCCTCCATTCATTCCCTCCCCACCATGCTTCCTCCCCAACGAGTTTCCGTCTCTCCACCTTCGCTTTTCGTTACTTCATATTAGTTCTCCAAATCTCGCATGCGTCATTATTCACACTACTTTCTTATATATCTATACACCATCGTGCTTTGCAGTCTCCTTTTCAGTCCCAGCAGTGCTCCATCCGTTCCGTCTGTTCTACCGGATAAGCTACCCGAGTCGCGTTCCCCGTACCACACCATCGCCGCACCCCTCGCGTTCAACCGCTCCACCGCCGCACCCCTCGCGAGTGGCAATGGCGGAAGCAAGTCATACAAAGGCGGTCGCCGCCCCTTTTTCCATAGCGCTCGCTCCTCCGCACGCGGCGGATTCCACAGCGCCAACGGCGGCGCCAGTCGCGGCGTCAGTTGCGGCGCCAGTTGCGGGGGAGATGGAGGCGCCGTTGATCGAGCCGTCGCACACGCTGAGCGATAGTATGCCCGCTGGCACGCACGTGGTGCGCCCAATAGGAGGGGGAAGGGATGGGGGGGGAGGGGGGATTGGGGGAGGGGGGGAGGGTCGGGAGAAGGGAGGGGGCCGTGCGGGGAAGTCGTTGGCAAAAAAAAAGGTTGAATGTGGGGAGGAGGGGAGGGGATGGTCAAGGGTCGTTTCAATAGCTGGCTGCTGGAATGCCGTCCTTCAATGCATTCCACCATCTTTGGCTCCCGTCTCAATCCCTAGGTAAGTCAGCCTGCCTTTTGAGGCGCCTCAAAAGTCAATGCCTGGCAAGCCAGCCAGTAGTACGTGTTTTTTGAGAATTCTCAAAAAACACGTGCAGCCAGTAGTACGGTACACTACACTGGCCTGCGCTAGTGATAGTGACCCGCCGCGCCCAGCTCCCCGCCTTGCCCTCTTCCCGCAGCTGCTGATGTGGACCCGTGGCTCACCTCTTCATCCGCCTGCTTCCCCTTGCCCATCCCCTTTGCCCCTCCCCGTGGTCCCTACCCCTTGCGTCCTCCCCTTAGCTACTGGAGAGGACCAGCTCTGCTCTCTTCATCCGCCTGCCGCCCCTGCACTGGACTAATCCCCCTCCCTTTCCTCTCCCTTTTCCCCCTTACGCCAACTCCCCTACCCTCTCTCCGCCTTTCCCCTTCCCCCCTCTCCCCCCAAGCTATTGGAGAGGACCAGCTCCGCTCTCTTCATCCGCCTGCCGTCCCTCCACTGCGCCAATCCCCCCTTCTCATCTCTCCCGTCCACTGGGCTAATCCCCATTTCCCCCTTGCGACCAATCCCCCTTAACCCTCCCCAATTCTTCCCCCCAGCTACTGGAGAGGACCAGCTCCGCCCTCTTCATCCGCATCCCGCCCCTCCAGCCGGCCAAAGCGGCGCTCGGCTTCACGGTACGGCAATGGGTGAGGTGGGTGCGACAGGGGTGGGATGGGTGCGACAGGGGTGGGATGGGTGCGACAGGGGTGGGATGGGTGCGACAGGGGTGGGATGGGTGATGGGTGCGACAGGGGTGGGATGGGTGCGACAGGGGTGGGATGGGTGCGACAGGGGTGGGATGGGTGCGATGTCTCGATGCCTAGAAAAAGACTCAGAAGTGGTTGCGCCCATCGATGCGATGCGAATCCCAACAGCTGAGGGAGCTCACTTTTGAGTCGACTCAAAAGGCTTTTCTCGCCTCTCGCGGTGCTGTCCGTACCACAAGCATCAACGCACCACAGCCCGCCTTGTACATACCAGCAACTTTCTCCTACCTCCTGTCTCCCCTTCATGCACAGAATTTCGCTCTCATCCCTCTGCCACCAACGCCTTTCTCCTGTCTGTCCCACACCTCCCATCTCCCATCTCCCATCTCCCATCTCCCACCTCCCATCTCCCATCTCCCATCTCCCATCTCCCACCTCCCATCTCCCATCTCCCATCTCCCATCTCCCACCTCCCATCTCCCATCTCCCATCTCCCATCTCCCATCTCCCATCTCCCATCTCCCATCTCCCATCTCCCATCTCCCATCTCCATCTCCCATCTCCCATCTCCCATCTCCCATCTCCCATCTCCCATCTCCCATCTCCCATCTCCCATCTCCCATCTCCCGTCTCTCATCTCCCGTCTCTCATTGCGCCGCAGTTCTTCGCTTTCCTTGGCCTGATGCCGCTGCTGCTGCCGCTGATGCTCGATGCTGATGCGCCCACAGAGGAGCAGACACCTCTCCCGCCCTTCACGCCTGTTGTCTCCGCTCTCTGCGCACTGTGAGCCTTAGGAGGAGGGGTGCTGACGGTTATTGCATTTTGGGAGCGGTGTGGTGTGGTGTGGTGTGGTGTGTGTGACCCCACAGGGGAGCCGACACCCCTGCCGCCCTTCACACCTGTTGTCTGTCTCAGCTCTCTGCGCACTGTGAGCCCTCGGAACGGTGTTGAGGGGTGGTAAGGGGTGGTGAGGGATATAGGCACATATACCTCGGGAATTCCTCCCACCCTTCATGCCTGTTTCCTCTGCTCTCGTCTCCCCATGTTGTGAGCCCTGGGAGGGGTCCGGAGGGATGGGGAGGGGTAGTGCTGAGCGTATGCTATGCGTTGTGTGTGCACGATGCAAACATACAATTCTCTGTGCCAATACCCCTTCCCTTCAACCTCCCCACTCCACCCTTCCGAACCCCTCTCTTCTACACATCCCTCTTCCATGCCGCCAATGTCAGCCTGGCCGTGCTGAGCGTGTGTGCAGCATTCATGGTGCGCTTAATGCGAACGCGCCTGTACCACGAATGCTTATTGCGAACGCGCCTGTACCACGAATGCTTAATTCCTTTTCCAAATCCTTTTCCCGCTCACGTGCCAATCTAATGCCTCAAAGTTCGCCTCCCCACCCCGCCTCCCCCTCCCATCCCATCCACGTCAGCATGGCAGTCGTCAGCGTGTGTGCAGCGTTCACGGTGCGCACGATGCAAATCGACGGCTCACAGCTGCTGCACACGTGGCAGCTGTTTGATTGGACCATCGACACCACCATCCCCACCGCATCCATCATTCGCGTCTCCCTCTGCAAAATGGTAAATTCCTGTGAGACCTGAGAGGGGTGCTGAGGGGTTCTGAAGGGCTCTGAAGAGTGTTCGGTTGGACCATCCACACCACCATCCCAACCGCATCCATCGTCTGCGTCTCCCTCTGCAAACTGGTAAAGGCACGTGAGACCTGAGAGGGGTGTTGGGGGATATTGAGGGGTGCTGAGAGGTGTTCGGTTGGACCATCCACACAACCACCCCTACCGCATCCATCGTCCGCATCTCCCTCTGCAAACTGGTAAATGCATGTGAGCACAATGTGAGCTCTGGGAGGAGTGGGGGGGTTTGTTGAGTGGTGCTGAGGGGTGCAGACGGGTGTTGAGGGGTGTTGGATGGACAAATGACACCAGCATCCCCACCACGTCCATTCAGCTAGTCTCCCTCTGCGGAATGGTAAGATCCTCACATCACCTCCTCCCTCGCATCACCTCCTCCCTCGCATCACCCCCTCCCTCGCATCACCTCCCCTGCGCCCCACACCCCTCACCACTTCCCCTCTTTCAGGAGAAACGCTTTGACACGACGTACTTCTGCCGAGTAGCAGCAGCAGACGGCAAGCAGCTTGACTTCGGGGGGCATTTGCCCCGCAAGGAGTGCGTGTGGCTGCAGCACGAGGTGTCCTCCTTTCGCACCTGATTGGTTGGACTCACTCAAGCTTCCTCCCTCAACCCTTCCATATTTCAGGAGAGGCGCTCCAGCACGACGTACTTCTGTCGAGTAGCAGCAGCAGACGGCAAGCAGCTTGACTTCGGGGGGCACCTGTCTCTAGAGGAGAACGTGTGGCTGCAGCACGAGGTGTCCTCGTACCTGCTCTCCCTGGCTGCCGAGTCCGTTTGATTGCCTTCATTTTGCCGGCACAAGACTTGCAACCAGGTGAGCAGGTCACTTTGACTTTTTTGTCGAATCAAAAGTCGTCCAGACCAGAGAGGAGAACGTGTGGCTGCAGCACGAGGTGTCCTCGTACCTGCTCGGCCTTGCTGCCGAGTCCGTTTGATTCCATTGGAGCTCCTGTCCGCCTGCACGAGATTTGGAACAAGGTCCGATTTCCGTGCCTGTGCCTGTGCCTGTGCCTGTGCCTGTGCCTGTACATATTTCCATCTCTGCCTGCACTCTTAGGTTTTTGTTGGCTTGCCTGTCGATTTGCTCTTGTCCGCCTTGTGTCTGGTGTGTGCAAGTCTGTTTTCCCAACTTCAATCCTTATCATGCCCGCACTCGTGCCACACTGCAGGCAGCACCATCGACCCGTAAACGGGCGGACTGCAGTGACCGCAATTAAGCCGTATCACGCACCTCCCTCCCTCCATTGACACATCCACACCTACCATCGTGTACAAATGCCGCATCTGTGTCCGTTGTATTGTAAATTGTCGAGGAGAGTGTGCCAGCCAGGTCCAGACGTGGAATGATTTCATGTTACCGTATTGATATCGCACAGCTGTATTGTAATCACTTTTGAGGATTCTCAAAAGTGATGTCAATATAACCAGACCTGGAATGATTTCATGTTACCGTATCGATATTGCACAGCAGCTTCAAACTTCCGACAGGCATGTGACCTCAGCTGCCACCCACACATTGGGGTTATCTGAAAGACGTGCCTTGCATCGTATGGCCACTCCCATCCCATCTTTTTGCATGTGCTATCACATGCTACCAGAGTGATCCCGGAAGGGCCAGACCGGAAACATCTCTTGTAGTGGTGGTATACATTTTTTTTGTTGCTAGACATAGGGGGTTCTCAATGGCATTGAGGAAAGTAGCTCATCAGGGGTATGCCTTGCCTCGCCAGGCATCTTTCCAGGAGAATCTGCTGCAATGCAAGTATGGTACCAATCACTTCATGGCTGCATGGAGCTCGTTATTGTGCCGACCACATCTTTCATTTATAAACGAGGCTGATAAATGATTGGGTATATGAAATACTCCACCAAACACATACCTGGATCTCTGAAAAGCTATAATGGGTATGTGAGGGTCCAAAGTGCTATGTGCTATGTTGAGCGATGTGGGATTTGTGATGTGATGATTGTTACAGTAAATAAAACCACGTCCATTTTGCGAGCACAGTTGTGGCGCTGTTAATATCGAGTACAGCTCGACCATTGATTCGAAAGTCAAGAAGGTCCGGGTCGTTCTTTTTCAGCCCCGGTCGCGCGGATTTCCTTCATCCACTCTGCTTGTCTCCCAACAGCCTTCTCCCCCTCTCCACCCCTTCCCCCCTCCGCCGCGCCCCCACCAACCCCGCTCCCCCCCTCCCCCCTCTTCCATTTGTGTAATTGAATTTCCAATTCTTCCATCATGCCTTCAATTATTCACACATCCTCTTTTTCGCCATAGTCTCTCCTGCTTTGACGTCTACTTTTCAATTCACCCACAGCCCTATTCCATCCATTCCGCCTATTTTATAAGCTATACCGTTTTCCACCGCGCAATCTCCGCACCCCTAGTCGCAATGGCGGAATCCGCAGGTCCCTCCACAACCCCCCCGCGGCCTGCGGAAACCGAGCAAGCCGCAGCGCCCTCCGGTCGCAATCAGGCAGACTGGCATATGAAGTCAGTCGCCGCCCCCTTTTCCATAGCGCTCGCTCCTCCGCATGCGGCGGCGGCGGCGCCGGGGCCTAAATCCTCAGCGCCAAAATCGGCGCAAATTGCGGCGTCAGTTGCGGGGGAGATGGAGACGCCGTTGATGGAGGCGTCGCACCCGCTGAGCGATGGTGTGCCCGCTGGCACGCGCGTGGTGCGCCCATGGGCGGGCAATGGGGATGGGGACAGGGTGGGGGAATGAGGGGAGGCGGGGGGAAGCGGGGGTTGGGAGGGTGCGGGTGGGAGGGGGAGGAGAATGTGGTCAAGGGACGTTTCAATGGCCGGTTGTCGAATGCCGCTCTAATATCATTCCTTCAGACCAACATGTAAACTTGCTGGCATACGGTGGTAATCTTAACCGCTCCAACCAGCTGCTGACGTGGACCAGCTCCCCCTTCCCCCTCCCCCTTGCCCCTCCCCCTTGCCCCTCCCCCTTGCCCCTCCCCCTTGCCCCTCCCCCTTGCCCCTCCCCCTTGCCCCTCAACCATGCCCCTCCCCATTGCCCCTCCCCCTTGCCTCTCCCGTTGCCCCTCCCCCTTGCCCCTCCCCCATGCCCCTCCCCGTTGCCCCTCCCCTTGCCCCTCCCCTCCCCTCCCCTTGCCTCTCCCCCTTGCCCCTCCCCCATGCTCCTCCCCCTTGCCCCTCCCCTTGCCCATCCCGTTGCCCATCCCGTTGCCCCTTCCCTTGCCCCTCCCCTTGCCCCTCCCATCCGATCGCCTCTCCCCCAGCTGCTCGAGACCACCAGCTCCCACCTCTTCATCCGCCTGCCCCTGCACTGGGCTAATCCCCCTTTCCGCCTTGCCTCACGCCTTTCCCCCTTGCGCCAATCCCCTTCCCCCTCCCTCCCGCCCCTCACCTGCTTGAGAGGACCAGCTTCCGCGGTTCTTCCGCCTGCCACCCCTCCAGTGCGCCGAATCCCCCCTTCCCGCCTCCCCCTTCCACTGGCCTAATCCCCTATTCCTCATTCTCCCTCCCTCCCCCTCTCTCCTCTCCCCCCCACCCGCCAGCTACTGGAGAGGACCAGATCTGCTCTCTTCATCCGCCTGCCGCCCCTCCAGTGGGCTAATCCCCCTCCCCCCCCCCTTCCATTTTCCACTGGGGTTATCCCCCATTCCCCCTTGCGCCAATCCCCCCCCCTCCTCCCCCCAGCTGCTGGAGAGGACCAGCTCGGGCCTCTTCATCCGCCTTCCGCCCCTTTGAGCTAATCCCCTTTCCCCCTTGCGCCCATCCCCCCCAACAACCCCCCGCCCCTCCTCCTTCCACCTCCAGCTACTGGAGAGGACAAGCTCTGCTCTCTTCATCCGCCTGCCGCCCGTCCATCTGGCCAAAGCGGCACTCGGCTTCACGGTATGGGCGGTGGGTGCAGTGGGCGGTGGGTGCAGTGGGCGGTGGGTGTAGTGGCCGATGGGTGCAGTGGCCGATGGGTGCAGTGGCCGATGGGTGCAGTGGCCGATGGGTGCAGTGGCCGATGGGTGCAGTGGCCGATGGGTGCAGTGGCCGATGGGTGCAGTGGCCGATGGGTGCGGTGGGTGCTAGCTGGCTTCATGGTATGGCCGATGGGGGCGACGGCTGTGGTGCCTGTGGTGGGGGCGATGGGGGGCGATGGCTGTGGTGGCAGCGATGGGGGCGATATGGGTGCGATTTCTAGATGCCTAAATAAGCACTTGTGCTCGCAGCTTTTTCAAACACCAGAGGGAGTTCGTCCCTCTCACGGTGCTGCTCTGAGGTCGTTTTTGAGGCGCCTCAAAAACGAGTTGTCCCTCTCACGGTGCTGCTCTGAGGTCGTTTTTGAGGCGCCTCAAAAACGAGTTGTCCCTCTCACGGTGCTGCTCTGAGGTCGTTTTTGAGGCGCCTCAAAAACGAGTTGTCCCTCTCACGGTGCTGCTCATCCCACAAGCATCAACGCTCCACAGGCCACCCATCTAGTGCACCACTACCTACCAGCGACTATCTTCCTTCTCTTCTCCAAATAGAGGATTACCCTGCTCACCAAAGCCTTCCTCTTACCTCCTGTCGCCCATCGTTGCACAGTTACTCTCTCTCATGTCGCTTCCGTTGGTGCGGCTGCCGCTGTTTTTTTTCTCTCATTTACAACAACAGCATAAAAAAATCAGCAGAAATATATATGTTTACCGTGCTCTTCTCCTGTCTCATCTCCCGTCTCCCATCTCTCATCACTGCACAGTATTGTGTTTTATGTGGTCTGATACCAGTGCTAATGCCTCTGATGCTGGATGATGGCGAGAGGACGAGGCAGCAGACACCCCTTTCGCCCATCCGTCCTGTCGCCTCTGCTATCTGCACACTGTGAGCCTTAGGAGGACTGTTGAGGGGTGCTGAGGGGTGCTGAGGGGTGCTGTTTATCAGGAGTGGTGTGGTGTGTGCGTGTGGTGTGAACCGCCAGGGAAGCAGCAACCCCTTCCACCCATTTGCTGCACACTGTGAGCCTTCAGAGGAGTTGTGAGGGGTGGTGAGAGGTTCGGGGAGTGCTGAGAGGTGTTGAGGGGTGTGGGAAGATTTGTCTAAGAACCCCGTCCACCCTTATGTATGTTGCCTCTGCTCTCTGCACACTGTGCCTTGGGAAAAGATGGTGATGCTTATGCGGAATAAGAAGGGTGGGGAGGGGTGATGAGGGATGTGGAGGGATGCAGAGGAGTGTTGACTCTCGAGGGGTTTTGAGCGGTGGGAGCGATGAGCGGTGTGTGCATCCATGATCCATCTGTGGTGCCCCTGGATTCCATTCACCTACCGCCCCTTGCCATCCCTCTGTCATTCCTTCCCACTCACCCCGCCCGCGCCCCCCTCTCCTCCCCGCCTCCCACTCCCCCCTCCTCACTCTCCACCCTCGTCAGCATGGCAGTTCCGAGCGTGTGTGCGGCATTCACAGTGCGCAACGCAGCACCGTGAAACGATTTTCACTCATGACAAAACGGCCCTCCTCCCCTCCCTCCTCTCCCACCCCTCTCTCCCCGCCCTCACCTCTTATTGCCAATCCCGAGCACGTGTGCAATGCGGCATTTATGTTGCATTTGGAAGAACCCTTCTAAAGGGCCCACCTCCTCTCCTTTCTCGCCATCACACCCATCCCATCCACGTCAGCATGGCATTCGTGTGTGTGTGCTCAGCTTTTGTGGTCTGCACGATGCGAATTGACGGCTCACAGCTGCTGCACACGTGGCAGCTGTTTGGATGGACCATCAACACCGCCATCCCCACTGCATCTATTGTTCGCGTCGACCTCTGCAAAATGGTGAATGCCTGTGCGCCCTGTGATGTTGAGAGGTGTTGAGGGTTGCTGAAGGGGTTTGAGGGGTGCCGCCGAGGGTGTTCGGGTGGACCATCCGCACTACCATCCCCACCGTGTCCGCCGGCCGAATCTCACCTCACCTCACCTCACCTCATCTCACTTCACCGTTGCAAAAAGGCAAGTTTCTCACCTCAGCTGCCCAATGAGTAGCAGCAGTAGACGGCAAGCAGCTTAATTTTGGCACCCATCCCTTTCGAGAGGAGTGCGGGTGGCTGCAGCAGGGAGCAAGTGCCTAAAACTCACGCCCTCCTCCTTGCCCTCCTCCCCTCCCCTCCTCCCCTCCCCTCCTCCCCTCCATTCAGGAGGTGAGGTTCAGCAGAATGTCTTTCTGTTGAGTATCAGCAGGAGACGACAAGCAGCTTACTCATGGCACCCATCCCTCTAGAGAGGAGTACGGGTGGCTGCTGCATTAAGGAAATACCCCCATCTCACGCTCTCCTCCTTGCGCTTCTTCCCGGCCCACGGCCCCTCTTTTCAGGAATGGGCAATAAGCAACAACTACTTCTGTGAAGTAGCAGCAGCAGATGGCAAGCAGCTTAATTTCAGCGGGCATCTGTCCAAAGAGGAGTGCGTGTGGCTGCAGCACGAGGTCTCCTCCTTCCTGCTCAGCCTGCCTGCGGAGTCCGTTTGATTCATCCTCCTGCTTGCCTGCACAAGACTTGCAACAAGGTCCGTAGTTTGCTTTCTGTACTCGTGCCTGTGCCTGTGCCTGTGCCTGTGCCTGTGCCTGTGCCTGTGCCTGTGCCTGTGCCTGTGCCTGTACCTGTGCCTGTGCCTGTGCCTGTGCCTGTGCCTGTGCATGTACCCAAAACCCTGCTCTTGTCCACCTTGTGCCTGGTGCGTGCAAGCCCATTCCCAAAGCTCAATCACTATCATGCCTGTACCCTCGTCTCTTTATGCACTGCAGGCAGCATCATGCAATCACGCCCACCATGCCACTCGTCTTCTTCCTGCCTCAAACAAAATTACACCATGTGTGATCTGCACACGCAAAAAGTCAACTCACTACATAAAGTCACCACTCCTACCGTGTACATAGTACGCTGCATGTGCGTCCGTCTTACAACTACTGTGGGCACCTGTTTGTATGGTTAAACTTGCCACGATGCCGTCCCCTGTTACGATGACATCCCCTGTTACTGAGCAGATTTTTGGGCCAGGAGCGTCATGCATTGCCCATAACACATACATACCCTACCATTTCTCACTCGCTGCAGTTTTACGGTACTTCTGCTAAGCGTTTGAAATGGAAGAGGGTATGGGAGGAGGATGGGTGACTGGGACAGAGAAAACATTAGGGGAGAAAGCGTTAACCATTTAGGTATGAAGCATACACATCAGCAGCTGCACAGAATCTGTAATTAATGCTGGGCTATAATCCAGTTAGAGTTACGGAGTTGCATGTGACTGCAGGGATGTCATATTGCTGAATCTGCAGCCACCAGCCAGTTTGGCTGCTTCACTTCCCTTTGCTGATTCCCAGGAGCTGTAGCCTTTCCTTAGCACTGCTCAGCGTGCGCCTAAGGGATTGCTTTGGTACCACCGGCACCATCCCTGCAAATGCCTTATTCCTACCCCCCTTGCTCCTCTCCATGCTCTCGCTCTCCTTCACCTCCCTGCAGTTGCTGCTGCTGGGGCTGTATTTGTTGAAGCTGTAGCTACTACTGCTGCTGGGTGTAAGGCTGTTGAAGCTGCTGCAAGGGCTGTCACTGCTGCTTATAGCGCGAATGTTGTCACTCATCATGGCAAAATTTGCCACTGATTTGGATTCCCGAATTCTAGGAAAGAATGTTTTAGTTTTTGCTGGATGACTGGGTGTAGTGCACTCGGGGGTCCCAAAACCGTCACTGGCGGTGGCTCGCGGCGTGGATCCGTCTTTCCGGTGCCACGCGGAAGACAACTGGCGGAAGGACATATTCCGGCGCAGGGCGCTGGGGGAGGGTTGCGCCTGAACCACTACAGTTGGCGATTCCTGGTATGATCTGTGCTTGCTGAATTCACGTCGTTCCAGGGACTTGCTCATCCCGTTATTGTTACCCTTCTCCAGCTGAGCACCAGCTGACAGCGCTGCAGCGGGGGCGGTGTATCGGTACGGAAAGCCGCTCTCATTCGTAGCGTCGATATCGTTCCAATCAGCGGTTGAGATGTGAGACGATGGTGGAGGTGTCGCTTGTTTAGGCGCGAACCAACGGTGACCCCAGTTGAACGACGGCCCTGTTGCTGATGAATCGAGCGAGACTCGTAAACGACTGTGGGGTGTAGTAGATGCAGGGGTGGCTAGGTGATCGTATGAGAAACTAGAGCGAACGACCCGATCATTGCAGTTGCTATATCGCGTGTCTTCATCCAGCGCCATCAACACCTGCTGCGTTTCCACCACGCGCAAAGCCGCTTCGCTGATTCTGCACCGCGCCGCGTCCATCCACTTTGGATCGCATGCCAGCTCAGCCGAAGCCCGCGCATCGTCAAAAGATGAGGATGCGCGCATCAGCTCGTATTGCTCCGCCAAGTCCTCCCCGCCCGCCTCCCCCCATTCGCTGCTCTCTCCGCTGTTGCTGCGACTGTGCGACGCGGCGGGCAGGAAGACACGCGGGGCGTCATGTGAAATTCCCCAGATCCCGCGGTTTGCTGCGCATGTGGGTTGAATCGTCGCTCGCGCATGACTTCCGCGCTCCACCAAATGTGGCGGCGCGAATGGCCGCGTTAAGTCTTGCGCTTCAGTGCACGGCGATTGCGGCTGCGGAATCTGTACACGCATGGGCTGCATCGGCTGCGCCGACGTCGGAATCGAATGAGGCTTCGGGGAAGGTAAATTCTTGGTGTCAACGTGCATCGCCGAGGAGGTAGGATGGTGCAATGAGCCGTTTGGCGGCGGCGTCGTTGTCGTTTCAGTCAGCCTCACGACCGCTGACTCAGTCAACCTTTGGGTCTCTGTCGAGTCGCTTGACCGCGTTGACTCGGCCAACTCAGACAACACTGTCTGCGGGTCAGATTCGGCGACAATTCGAGACTGGAGAGCGCTCGCACAATAGGATGCACCAAGAAGGCTTGAATCCGACGGCGTGCGACGGTGGCGGCGACGAGCGACGGTGAGCACAGCCGGACGGAGCGTCGCACAAAACTCGCCCACTTCTGTGCTGGTCGCGTGGACACGCGGAGAAAACTGACTGAATGCAGTGGCGCTGCAATCAAGATGGGCTAGAGTCTCGTCAGCACATCGCGATGTCGCGAACGTCGATACGGAGAGGGCGGTGCGGCCATGTGGTGTGGTAGAGGCTTGGTGCGTCGTCGGTTGAAAAGGCGACCTCTTTCCTGGCGAATTGATGGGTGAAACCGCGGCGAGCGAAGCGGTGAATGCGGCGGCAGGGAAGGAGAGACACGACGTCGACGCAGACCGCCTGTGACGTGTCGAACTTGACTGCGGAGCTTGGGGGCTGTCCCTTTGCACGAGTCGCAAGGAAGGCCCATGCTCGACCCAGCCAGTGCAATTCGCGAAGCGCTGGATCGAAGAAAAGGCGTTGGGCGAAGCGAGACCACCTCCCGCCGCGCACGGTGGATGCATTTCTTCGAGTGAGCTACGGTGTCAAATGTGACAGTCACATTCGATATTCAAGAAAATAGTGTGGGATGGAACGGAAGGACATCGCATTTAGGTGTTCCGGACGGGGGGCGGGAACAAAAAACCTCAAGCCAGCCAGCATTATGCTTCGGATAAATATAACCATGCTGAACAAGAATTTTGAGTGGCGAAAATGAGGGTAGTGCAGAAGGCAGGATTGTGGAAAACAAGATTGTGTGCGGAATGGTTCAACGAGGTTTCGCACATTTCTCACACCCAATCGAATGGGCCACCACCACGACGCATGAGACACTAGGACCGCGTCCGAACGATTTCGAAGGTCATGAACCGTGTTATGACTTGCCTTAAACGTACTGCCTTAAGTACCAATCAGTCCCCAGTGATGGAAGGAACCGATGTCATGAACCAACTTGGACCAAAGTTTCCAAGAAGACTTGGGTGATTGTCGTCAAAGCGAGTGCATCCCCCGGCTGACATCCAGCAAAGAAATCACACAGCAGAAGAAACAGAGGAGCGGTGAGGTGGGGTGGGCTACGAAACAGACATGGGGGTCCTACAACAATTCGGCAAGTGGTGTCGTTTGTGATTGATTAAGGTGGTGGAGCATCGCATGACGCGTCGTCACCTCACACTGCCCATTCACTGTACATCTGTGCTGAAACAGCAGGAGCGCCGCAACAACTCGCTGGTTCCGTCAATTTGTTTCAAAAAACAAGTTGCGGATGTCATAGTGCCCGAGAGAGCCGGTGTACAGTAAAACAACGACCAAGCACCATGTCTGAAGTTCCAAGCACATCATCATTCTATAACAATTTGGTGAACTCTTTTGCCTTTCCATACACAGGATTCTCAACAACTGCACGCAAATTTGGTCCGGATTAGCTCGGAAGCCTGCCCAATTGCAAGTAGTATTAGCCAGTTGCACGCACAATACAAGCACCTTGTTTGATCTCAGCCGTTGAACAGACAGCTTATCACGCTGGCATCCGTCCGTTTGTGAGATATATTGTAGAAGCTGGTTACATTTCTTCACCTGCCCACTACAGTCCCGATTTTGCCCGTGGTGAATGCTGGCGAGGAAGCGAAATTGAGCTGCTCACTAAACACCCAGATGATGGGAAAAGTTGTAGAGGTCAAACGCGCTTCTTGTGTATACGGTTTTCATCCCAGGGATCAATCTGAGAAACCTCCTAGTAATTTCAATGGGAGCAGATAGATAGGGTACAGTATATATGCACGCCTTAGATGTGATGTGGGGGTCCAGATCAGCAGACAGCTGGTCGAGAAATCAAATTGTGGTGCAGATTTGCTCATCCTTTACTGCCACCACATCTCTGTCGTGTAAGGACAAGTGGTAAACCTGACACGCATGCATATCATGGGTTGAGGATAGCACATGAGCAACAGCGAATAGGCTTCACAATTCTGCTCGGAAATCCTGGGCAACTGTGTGGTGGCTGTTCGTTGCAGATACTTTTCACGTGCCAATCCCTTTGTTGATATTTTGTTGATGCTGAATGGCGATTCATGCACCGTATCGGTATAAGCTGGCAGTATCCCTTGCAAGAAACAGGGTGGGAACAACTTAAATTACAAGGATTGATTTATGCATGCAAAAAAACAGGTTGTGTGTGATTGTACTGACATAACATGCAAGGTACCACAAAACATCATCAAATCTAAGGTCAGCACTGTGCCTCACATGGAACACAATGCCTCATTACTTGCAGCACTGGTAGTATAAATATACAAGTGAAATTTCCAGCATGAAACACTAGTTTAGTCGAGTGTTTCCAGCATGTCTCAAAACCAATACGGGTGCAATGCAACAACATTTCAGCCTACAAAATTGGTGAAAATTTGTGCTCCACAAAAAGTTTTCATGTTCTACATAACTAATCAAGCTGTCGTGATAGACACTCTGCCTCATCTGCAGCACTCCTCTTGATTACCTTCATAGCCTGCCCCTCCTCCCCTTCATTCAGCTCCATCTCGTTCGGTGGTGTGCCTGGAGGCGACTCAACCTCAGGCTGCTTCGGCACCCGAACTATGGCTTCCGGCTGCGCTTCTCGCGCCAAAATTGCAGCAGCAGCTGAGGCAGACAAATGAGGGATTGCATGGGGTGATCTGCCAGCAGCAGCACTGCCTGCATTAGCCGCACCAGCAACGGCAGTGGAGATCCTCCCGGCCAATCCAGTGCCGCCAGGTGTTGCGGCACGGGATGGGGAGTGGGAGGAGGCGGTTGCAGTGGCGGCAGCGGCTGCTGCGGCGTTGCGAAGCGAAGCGAATGAGCGCACCTGGATTGGGATGAGGCAGCGCAGGGGGGGTGGGGATGGAGAGAAAGCAAGCAGTATGGGGCTTCAGAAAGAAGCATCTTGATGCAGAGGAGGCTCTGGGGGAAGAGGAGACAGAGAGGGGGTTTGGGATCAATGGGATGGGAGGCAGTTACCTGCTCCAGGCGTTACCTGCTCCAGGCGTTACCTGCTCCAGGCGTTACCTGCTCCAAGCGTTAACTGCTCCAGGCTTTACATGCTCCAGGCGTTCCCTGCTCCAGGCGTTACCTGCTCCAGGCGTTCCCAGCTCCAGGCGTTACCTGCTCCAGGCGTTACCTGCTCCAGGCGTTACCTGCTCCAGGCGTTCCATGCTCCAGGCGTTACCTGCTCCAGGCGTTACCTGCTCCAGGCGTTACCTGCTCCAGGCGTTACCTGCTCCAGGCGGCGCGCTGCATCGAGGCGATCCTCGTTGTATGAGCTGGGGAACTGATGGGGGGCGAGAAGGAGGGCGAGGGGGAAGAGAGGAAAAGGGAGAGACGAAAGGAAGGAGAGTGACGAGGATCTTCTGGCCGAAACAAATGTGAGTCTCTCAGCACGGAGAGTACACAGGGGCAGCTACAGGAGATAGGAAACAACCTCAGGCGGACATAAGATCCTCAAAACAAACGGTGAGTAATTTGCAAGGATCTCATTTCATCCCGAAAACCGCAAACTTCAAAGACAGAACAGAGAGGATAAGAGCTGCAACGGGCCCTCGGGTGATCGGCAAAAGGGAAAAACGGACAGGGTATCAGACGGACCGGCTGGTATGCAGGGGAAGAAAGAGGTGGGATCACAACTTGGTGCGCGGCTGGTATGCAGGGGAAGAAAGAGGTGGGATCACAACTTGGTGCGCGGCTGGGTAAAGGGGGTTGGAGCAGAAGAAGCAGTGGGTGGTCTCGCGACGTGGGCAGGGGGACGGGGGATGGGACTCCAAATGTGTGGGTGACAGGGAGAGGAAGGGGGAGAAGTGACGCAAGGGGCTTACAAGGTGCGGGGCGTATCTCTGAATGGCTGCCAGCACTGCCGCGTGCCCCACAGGTGTCATCTGGGGGAGGTGGGGAGGTGGGAAGAGCGGGGGTGGGAGACAGGGGGAGTGGATAGGAGATTGTAAGTGTAGGGTGCGGGGCGTATCTCTGAATGGCTGCCAGCACTGCCGCGTGCCCCACAGGCGTCATCTGGGGGAGGTGGGGAGAAGGAGAGGTGGGAAGCGGGGGGATGGATGTGAAAGAGCACGCATTGGGTCGGCGATTTTTCCCTGAAGGAGATTAGGACGAGTTACCTGTTGGATCCAGGTCAAAACTGTTTTTCTGTGCTAGCACTTTCACTTGATTAGAAGGGGAGGCAGGGATAGAGCGGCTGACACTCACATGAGGATGAGGAGGTGGAAGGAGGGGTGAGCTAGTGCGAATGCAGGCGCTGCTCACTAATGAAACGGACCATGAGAGAGAGGCACCCTGATGGAGGCACCCTGATGGAGGCACCCTGATGGAGGCACCCTGATGGAGGCACCCTGATGGAGGCACCCTGATGGAGGCACAGCGATGGAGGCACAGCGATGGAGGCACAGCGATGGAGGCACAGCGATGGAGGCACAGCGATGGAGGCACAGCGATGGAGGCACAGCGATGGAGGCACCCTGATGGAGGCACAGCGCACCCACCGAGATGAGCATGAGGACGCCAATGGGAATCACCGATGCCATGTCTGTCAATGTGTGCTAGAGAACCGTTGGAGAAAGAGGCAGATCCCTGCTTGTTGTGTTGATGTGCCCAGCTCTCTACCATCACAAGGACCGCTCCGCTTGAGAGCAGCACGCACCGGGATGAGCATGAGGAGGGCAAGGAAGGAGAGAGAGTGGCACGCTCACCGGGATGAGCATGAGGACGCCGATGGGGATCACTGATGCCACGTCTGTGAGCGCGCGTGTGTGAACAGACATGCTAGAGAGACACTCAATACATGCTAGCACAGCTCACACGCAATATGAGAGAGGGAGGCTCGCACCGGGATGAGCATGAGGATGCCGATGGGAATAACTGACGCCATGTCAGTGAGTGTGCGCTTCAAAACTTTCGCTTCCCGGTCAGTCAGGGGCTGCCCGAGTGCTGCCCGCTGCAGCATCTTCATTGCGACTGCCACGTCTGTGCTGAGGAGCTGAGTCCCTCGCCATGCATCCTGAGAACACGTAGGGAGTGACATTATGGGAGCATGGGGGGTGAGGGGGGTAATGCGGGGTGACAGGGGGACATGGGCGGGTGAGGGGGGTAATGCGCTGCCTGTTGCAGCATTTCATGGCCATTGCCACGTCAGTGCTCAGGAGCTAAGCGCCCTGCCACGCGTCCTGGTAAGGGGGATGGTGGGGACAGGAGAAATTTGATGATAGCGAAAGATGGGAAAGCAGTGACGCGTGGCTGCTGCATGACTTGCATGCCCCCTCTCTCCCATCCCCCACTCTTCTTACCTTCCACCCCGCCTTCTCGAGCGTGCTCAAGAGACTGGTCAATGACGCTCTTCTCCTGCCTCTTCCACTCTCAACCAACCACCCTCAACCACTCTCAATCGCTCTCCCACCCCCTCCAACCCTTTCTTACCGCCCCGCCTTCTCGAATGTGCTCCAGAGATTGGTCAACTAAATATTCTCCTGCCACTCCCCCGTTCCCAACTCCTCTCAACCACTGTCCTGTCCCATTCCCTCCAAGCCATTCTTACCGCCCCGCCTTCTCCAGCGACTGGTCAATCATGCTCTTCTCCTGCCTCTCCCCCTCTCAACCCCTCTCAACTGCTCTCCCACCCCATTCAACCCATTCTTACCGCTCCGCCTTTTTGGTTGTGCTCCAGAGACTGATCAATGACGCTCTTCTCCTGCCCCTTCCCCTCTCAACACCCTCAACCTCCTCTGAACCGCTCTCCCACCCCATCCAACCCATCCTTACCGCTCCGCCTTCTCGAATGTGCTCCAGGGACTGATCAATGACGCTCTTCTCCTGCCTCTCTCCCTCGCCCGCCCGGCTCGTCACATCGCTCCCCTCCCACTCATCCAGGCCCCCGCTGCTGCTGCCATCCGGCCCTCCCCTCCCCCCTCCCACACTCCACGAGTCACCAGGAGCGGCAGCAGCCGCAGCACCACCACCAGCAGCAGCACCAGCAGGAGAAACACCACCAACAGCAGCAGCAGCAGAACCACCCCCAGCAGCAGCAGCAGCAGCAGCAGCGGAGGAGGAGGCAGAGGAGGGGAGGTTCCAAGAGGAGGAGTCAAAGAGTCGGTCGAAGATGGAGGGTGCCTTGGGAGGGGACGTTTGGGTGGCCGCCTCCCGCTCAAGAGATGTAGATGCTGCTGCTGACGTGCCAGCAGCAGCAACACCAGAAGCAGCACCACCAGCAGCAGCAGCCATCTTTCCCTCCCTACCAGCACCAGCAACAGCACCAACGTCAGCACCTCGCTGCAGCAGTCTCGCCTCGAGCTCCCTTAACTGCACCTTCAGCTGCTGCAGCCTACTCGCCTCTGCTCCCAGCCCTCCCATGCTCGCTGCCGCATGCCTCCCATCCCCATCCCCATACCCAGCCGCTACATCTGCCTCTGCTGCACCTGCCCATGCTCTCTCGTCAAAGAACTCTTCTCTGAATGCCCAAGAGCTGTTGGCATCCTGTGCTTCACTCCTCTCCTCCTCTCCCCGACCTCCCTGCCCTCCCTTTTCTCCATCCCCTCCATCCCCTATCCCCCCCCGTTGCAACTGTGCTGGCGCCGGTGCCTCTCTTTGCATCTGCGCCTGCCCCTGCGCCTGCACCTGCACCTGGGTCGCTGCAGCCCTCCCAGGCCCAGCAGTTCCATCTCTTTTGCCTGGCTCGCTGCTGCTAGCAGCAGCAGCACCACCGCTAGCAGTAACAGCCGCTGCTTGTGCTGACGTGGGCGTGAACGATTGGAAGGGAGAGAAATCATCGTCATCATACTCCACCCGCGTTCCCTGCACACCAGACCCACTTATATCCCTCTCCATCTCTTCCAACCTCCCCCTTCTCCCTGCTACACCTCGCACCTCTGTGCTCCCTCCCCTGCTTCTGCTACTGTCCTCCCTCTCTTCCTCCCCATCCGCCTCCTCTCCCTCGGTTTTGGAAAGAAGCGATGAGTCTTCCCGGGCAGCCTGCCCGGGCAGCTGGAAGAAAAAACTGCGGCCAGAGCGGGCGGCAGGGGCGGCAGGGGCAGTATCAGTGGTGACGGGAGCAGCAGTGCTAGTGGAAAGGAAAGCAGAGGTGAGGTAGGAGGGGAAGGGCGAGTCAGCGAGCGCTGACGTGTCATGAGACGATTGGCTCTTGTGGAGGGAGGAGTAGTGGGGAGCGGGAGGGTAGTCGTAAGCACCAACTATAGAGGCGATAGTGGCGGTGGTGTCAGTGGTGGTGGTGGTGCTGGTGGCGGTGCTGGCGTTGGCATTGGCGTTTGAAGGAGTGAGGGAGGGAGAGAAGGAGAAGAGGTCCCCGAGTGTGCCCAGGAAACTGAGAGGAAGGGGGAAGGGGGGAGGGGAAAAAGGGGAGGTGTGCGGGAGGCTTATTAGAGCTGAAAACACTTACCGAAACAAACAATCACGCAGATTTATAAAAGTTACACAGCTGAAAGACACTTACTGAAGGCGAAAATGACAAGGCACTCGAAGAAGCTGATGCATGCATACCCCATGCTATGGCTCCTCGGGTGCCTATGTGGTATAGATTGGATAAACCACATGACGAACGTTCCACTCTACATGCATACCCCATGCTATGGCTCCTCGGGTGCCTATGTTGCTGCTGCTGCTCCATCTGCTGCTCCATCTCACGTGCTGCCGCCTGCCTCCTCTGCCGGCTCACCTTCTCCCCCACCTCCTCCTGCACATCACAGGGATAAGTCAGAAGGATACAGACGAGAGAGGCCAGTTAGAGAGACTCCTCAAAAGAGAGGGGTGAAGAGTGCGAAAGAGGGGAGAGCTGTCAACTACTCTCCTCACCTGCTGCCATCACCCCCTCTCTTCCATCTCACCTGCTGCCATCACCCCCTCTCTTCCATCTCACCTGCTGCCATCACCCCCTCTCTTCCATCTCACCTGCTGTCGTCGCACCCTCTCCTCCTGCACAGCTGCTTTCATCTTCAGTCGTCTCTCCAGCTCTGTTAAGCACTGTGCTGGCTCTCACCCTCTCCTTCACCCTTTCTCTTCCCCTCTCACATGTTGTCGCCGCACCCTCTCCTCCTGAACAGCTGCTTTCATCTTCAGCCGTCTCTCCAGCTCTGTTAAGCACTGTGCTGGCTCTCACCCTCTCCTTCACCCTTTCTCTTCCCCTCTCACCTGTTGTCGCCGCACCCTCTCCTCCTGCACAGCTGTTTTCATCTTCAGCCGTCTCTCCAGCGCTCTGATCTCCTCCCTTACCCGCACCAGCCTCTCCCACTCCACGCGCACCAATGCCAATCTTTCACTCGTCCCCGCCCCTGCTGCCTTCCCTTTGGCCCCGCCCGCCCCTGCCGCTCTCCCTTCCATGGAACCTGCTGAACTCGTATGCGCCACGTGTTTCTGTGCGGCATTTGCTCCAACCTCTTTTTCCCCATCTCCCCTTCCTCCCGCTGCCCCTTCTCCCTCGGCCCCTGTCCTCTCTCTCTTAACTCCCTCCTCTGCTCTTTCCCCTGCCCCTTCTCTTGCTGCTGCTGTGTCATCTGCACCCTTGCCTGCTTTCCCAGCAGCTGAGTGTGAATGCGAGTGAGAGTGAGAGCGTGAATGTGAGTGTGAGTGTGAGTGTGAGTGAGAGTGAGAGTGTGAGTGTGAGTGTGCATGTGAGTATGAGTGTGAGTGAGAGGGAGCATCGCCTCTAAGCCCAGCACTCTCTGCCTCCACCACCTTCATCAGCCTCTCCACTATCTCGTCCACAGACAGAAAATCCTGAGAGGATAGCAGGGAAGAAAAGGGAGAGGATCAAGAGAGGGAGAGGAAGAAGAGGTGAGAGAGCGCGACTGACCCACCACCCTCATCAGCCTCTCCACTATCTCGTCCACAGACAGAAAATCCTGCCAAGAAAAGAGAATGAGAGCGTGGAGCTAAGGGCATGGGTGAGTGTGCATGGGAATGAATGGGAGCTTCATCAGTCTCATCAGTCTCTCCACTGTACTCCACATATAGAGAATTCTGATGGTAAAAAAAAAGAAACCCTAAGGGAGCTTCTCCTCTCATCCCAATCCTCACATCAGTTGCTCCACAATCTCATTAACAGACAAAAAAAGTCCCGCCAGGAAGAATGCTGCAGAGCAGCAACGGAAGGGGAGAAAGATTAAGAGCACATTCCCAATCCATGATCAGCATCATCCTCCTCCTCACTTGGTTCAGCGCCTTCAACTCCCTCTCCATGACTTTTGAGACGTCTCAAAACTCCCTCTCCATGACTTTTGAGCTTAGTTGGAATATACGCTCAAACCTGTTTGCGTTTAGCGTATACACGCTAGCGTGTATACGCAAAACGCTAAACGCTATCGAATACGCTATACGCTCGCCAATTTTTTTTTGGGGCAGCCCGGCCAGAAAATTTCAACCTATACGGTTCGCTTCGGAATTGCACGACGAAGACATTGGCGGGGTCAGATGGCACATCCGCGCTGTGTGCTAGCGTGGACGTGGGTTGGAAGTTCGTGTCGCAAATGGAAAGTCACGTTCGTCGAGTCGCGCCTGCACGTTCCCTCACATTTTGGTGTTCACTATCAGTACCGCATTCAAACCCTTCGCAACCAACACCTCTCCAATTTTTGTTGGCCATCTTCCCACTCCCACAATCAACTCGCCATAAAACAAGCACACCCCCAACATCCAACTCATTAGGTCTTCTCTCGCTTCCAGCAGAGCACTAGGCATTCCCTAGCGCATGGTTCCTATGTCGATGACTACTACCTCTCCTCTAACGCCACCGTCAGTTAACACCGTTGGCAGTTCGCAAACTCTTCTAACCGAGGCACAGGAGTATCTCCCCGACGTTGACCATGCCGTCTTCAAGCACTTCCGCATCATCAAGAGGGTCGAGGGAAAAGCTCAGCAGTACGAGTGCAAGTTCTGCAGCAACGTCTACACTGGTGCTGCCATCCGATGCGCGCAACAGTTCACGTCGTGGAAGGGGATGAAACGCCGTGAAGTGGTGCTTTGCAAGGATGCGCCACAAGATGTGCGCTTGGCCATGCGCGCGAAATACGAGGCAAAGGCTGCTGCGGCCGAAGAGAAGAGGCGGGCAGCAGCTGAAGCGGTTGCCGCGGTCAAGGCTAATGGTGTGAAGCGGGCGCGCATCACCGATTACCTTGATGGGGATGCGGCCGCAAGAAAGAGAGAAGCGGACGAGGCACTTGCGCTTGCTTGGGCCGCCCTCCATATCCCCGAGCACCACATTGACCATCCTCTGATGGTCAATGCATTGAACCTCGTCAAGCGCGCCGGCGTCGACTACGTCCCTCCCAAGAGGAAATACATCGGCGGTGCTGGCCTTCTCTCGTGTCGCAAGGGAATCGAGCAGGGTTTGGTGGGCATTAAGGCGAGCTGGAAGAGGACGGGCGTGACGGTTTCGTCCGACATGATGACGGACCGCAACGGCAGGCCGCAGGCCAACGTGCTTCTCGTAAACGATTCCGGCGCCGTCTTCACCGACTGTATTGACTGCAACATGGAGAGGAAAACCGGAGGTTACGTGGCGGGAATTCTTAGGCCCGTGGTGGAGGAAGTGGGTCCAGAAAACGTTGTTGCGTTCTGCATGGACGGGGGGTCGAACTATGCGGTGGCGGTGAAGCAGCTCTTACAGGAGTGGCCGCACATTCAGGATGTGCCGTGCGCCACTCACGTATTGGATCTTCTCATGGAAGATGTCGGGAAGATGGGATGGGCTAAGCCGGTGGTCGACAAGGGAGGGGAGATATCTAGCTTCGTCCGCAACCACCACTGGACCCGAGGGTACCTGCGGAAGCCGGAATCGGTGGAGGGGAAAGTTCTGCAGGCGCTGAAGCCGGCTGGAACCCGATTCGGGACCAACTACATAGCCATATCCCGGCTATGTGCGATGCGCGGCAGCCTTACCAACATGGTGACGAGCGAGGGTTGGAAGGAGTGGGCGGTAGGGGACCGGAAGAAATCGTGTGACGGGTTCAGTGCACTGATCCATGATGCCGCCTGGTGGAAGACGGCCGAGTTCTTCGTCGCACTGCTGAAGCTGCCCTTTAAGGTGATGAGGCAGACGGACGGGCATGCCGTGGGGATGATGGGGAGGCTGTACGATTTGATGCTGCAGTTGACTGAGGACGTGGGGGGCTTGCTCGATGCGGACGAGGAGCAGCTGAGCGACGGGGACAAGGACAAGATCCGCCGCATCCTCAGAGACCGCTGGGACGGCAGCCTCGCATGCGCCATGCATGTCGCTGGCCGCATCCTCAACCCCGCGAATCAGGAGGAAGATATTTTCGGCACTGATCCCGAGTGCACGAAAGTCTTCAAGGCGTTCATCAGCCAGCAGGCCGAGTTCCTTGCGAGCCGCGGGGATGGAGGGGATGACGCGTGCGACATCTTGCTTGAGCTGGGGGACGGGCTGAGGGCGTTCCTTGACATGAAGGGTTCTTTTGGGATGCCGGAAGCCGTGGCACAGAGGAAGCTGGTGAAAGAGGGAAAGTATAGCATGGTGAAGTGGTGGCAGTGGAATGGGACTGATGCCCCTCGAGTGGCGGGGCTCACGGTACGGGTTCTGTCTCAGGCCGTGTCAGCCTCACCTTGTGAGCGTGGATGGTCCTCGTGGGATGCCGTCCACACCGCACGTCGCAACAGGCTCGGATCCGCCAAGTGCAGGGACTTGGTCTATGTTGCGCACAACTGGAATGTTGTGCGCAGCTGGCACACGCGCGTTGATGTCTTGCCACATGTGGTGCCCGGGATTGGAGCGGAGCCTCCAATCCCGGCGGGATACAATGGGCTGGAAGACGAGACGAAGGGAGAGGATGAGGAGGAAGGCGAAGACGACATCCTCGAAGACGAGTACGCTAACTAGAGGGGGCAAATGTGGCTTGCTGTGGGCGGCTAGTCCTAAGGAGTAGTAGTACGTAGCGTGTCTTAGAGAGAAGTGATGGTCGTGATGGAGTAGTGATGATAGTAGTGATGGTAAGTGATGATGGTAAGTGATGATAGTGATATTAGTAGTGATGACAGTAGTTATGTGTAGGCCGTGGTATATGTGTAATGTGGAAAAAAAAATCTCTGAAACTTCAGGCCCCATACCCCACCCCCATACCCCCCCCCCCCCCCCCCCCCCCCCCCGGGCCTTTTTTTGACCCTGCCCGGGAAGTTTTTTTTCTGCCCGAAAAAGCGTATTTCCAAACCCGTCCCTACAGCGTATAGCGTATATAAGAGTGCGTATATACGATAAGCGTATATACGCAATAAGCGTATATTCCAACTAAGCTTTTGAGACGTCTCAAAACTCCCTCTCCATGACTTTTGAGACGTCTCAAAACTCCCTCTCCATCACCTAAAGCCCCCTCAGCTCCTTGCCAAGGTCATGCTCATACACATTCACCATCAATCAGCACCCATCAGCACCCATCAGCACCCATCAGCACCCATCAGCACCCATCAGCACCCATCTGCAACCTCCTCACCTGATTCAGCGCCTTCAACTCCCTCTCCATGACCCCCTGCCCCCTCAGTTCCTTCTCCAGCCGCCATGTGCCTCAACAATCTGATGAGTAGATGCACCTAAGTCATGGTAACCCGCTCCTCCCCACCTGATTCAGCACCTTGAGTTCTCTCTATATGACCTTCAACCCCCTCAGCTCCTCGCCATGTACACTCAACCACACATACACAACCAATCCAAACCAAGCATTAGCACCCATCAGCACCCATCTGCACCCTCCTCCCCACCTGGTTCAGCGCCTTGAGTTCCCTCTCCATGACCTTGAGTCCTCGCAGCTCCTTCTCCAGCCGCCTCCTCGCCTCCTCCCTCTCCCTCGCCTCCCTCTCCACCTCCTCCATCTCGCCCATCTCCACCGCTCTCGACCCCTCTAAACGCCTCTCGGCCTCGTTGGAGGAATCGGAGTCAGAAGAGGGGACTAGCACGCCTGGCACCCTGCAAGGGGGAGTGGGGAGGGGGGAGGGGGGAGGGGGGAGGGGGGGGTGATTGGGAGAGGGAAGAGAGGGTGGACGGGGAACGGCAGGTGGTTGGGGAAGGATAGGAGGGAGGGGAAGGGAAGGGGGGAGGGAGGGCGGCTGAAAGGGGTGTGCGGAAGGGGAAGGGGGGTGGGACTGCGAAGGGAGGGAGGAAGACGATGGTATGGGGGAAAGGGAGCGCCATAGTTTCCAGGTTGTATGGGGGAAAGGGAGCGCCATAGTTTCCAGGTTGTATGGGGACCAATGGGGTCGTGCGAGTAACCAGTACTCATTTCTCGAGTCGACTAAAAAATAGGACCAATAGGGTCGAGTAACAAGTACTCATTTCTCCTCATACCCACATACTCACTCACCACATTGACTCGCTGAGCCCACTCACTCACTCACTCACTCTCCTCGTACTCACTCACTCCTCACTCTCCTCGTACTCACCCACTCCTCACTCCTCGTACTCACTCACTCCTCACTCTCCTCGTACTCACTCACTCCTCACTCTCCTCGTACTCACTCACTCACTCGCTCTCCTCCTACTCACTCACTCACTCCTCACTCTCCCCTTCACACTCACTCTGCGGCCACATGGTGTTTGGTTGATGGCTCCAGGCACAGCCCCAGAAGAACCAAACTGGAGGGGTGGAGAGGGGTGCGGAGGGGTGGGGAGGGGCGGAGACAGATAGAGAGGGACAACATTTAATCTGCCTCAGAAGCTGCTTGGTTGACGGCTCCAGACACAGCCCCCCCCAGCTGCATCATGCTGAGGGGTGGAGAGGGGTGCGGAGGGGTGGCTCTAGAAGAACCAGCAACACCATTCACCCCACTTCACCCCTTTACAGCCTTCTACAGCCCTCTACACTATCTTTTTCACTCCTCTTCAGCCATATAAACCCATCTTCACTCCTCTTCATCCCTCTAGGCCCCATCACCACCACACACACACACTCACCCCTGTGCCATGAAAGCAGCAGCTCGCGACTCAGGCTGCTGCAGCAGCCAGCTGGAGTGCCGCTCCCAATCCCTCGCCCACATGCCGCACACCTCCTTACCCACCAGCACCGCTCTGCGCCGCCTCCTCCGCTGCCGGTGCCGCTGCCGCTGTGCCGAGCGCGGCGAGAGGGAGGAGGGGTCAACGTCAGGGTGGCGTTTGGAGGAAAGAGGGGGAAGGAGCGGCAGCCAGGCGAGCTCTTCTCTTAGGACCTGATGCAGGAGGAAAGGAGGGGGAGGGAGGAGGGAGACGAAGGTAATGGCATGAATGGGAGAGAGGGAGGAGGGGTCAATGTCAGGGTGGCGATTGGAGGAGAGAGGTGGGAGGAGTGGCAGCCATGCAAGCTCTTCTCTTAGCACCTGAGAGGGATGCAAAACGGAGAGGGCAGTGCAACGCGGAGAAAAAAAGGGCGAGAGGGAGGAGGGATCAACGTGGGGGTGGCGCTTGGAGGAAAGGGGTGGGAGGAGCAGCAACCAGGCAAGCTCTTCTCTCAGGACCTGAGGGGGTGGGGAAGAGAGGGGGGGGGGGGGGGGGAGGAGGAGAAATTACAAAGATGGGCGAGAGGGAGGAGGGGTCGATGCCAGGGTGACGCTTGGAAGAAAGAGGTGGGAGGAGAGGCAGCCAAAAGATCTCTTCCCTTACGACCTGAGAGAAATCATACTTAGAATTCTCAAAAGTGATTACTACTGAGAGGCAGCCAAAAGAGCTCTTCCCTTACGACCTGAGAAAGACGCGGAAAGGGGAGGGAAGTGCAAGGTTAGGAAGAAAAAGCGGGGAAGGGAGGACGGGTGGAGGTGTAGTTTGCAAGAGGGCTAGGAGGAGGTGGGGCAGTGAGGCAAGCACTTCCATTAGACTAGAACCACCCTGATCTAATCGTGGCCTGAAATGCTACTCACCTCCACGAGCCCTTGGTACTTGGAGATGTTGTAGAGGTGGGGGAAGGCGAGTGGGATTCCATCTGTACCTGCTGCTACCGCAGTAAACCACCTGTCATCTTCACAAACCCCTCACCTCCACAAGGCCCTGGTACTTGGATATGTTGTCCAGCTGGGGGAAGGTGAAGATGATTGCGCCCTCGAAATGGCTGGGGGTGGGGGGGGATGAAGAGAGGGGGGGGTGCGGGAGAAGGTGGGAGGTGGGAGGAAGAGTGGGGAGAGAGTATGGGAAACATGGAATGAGGGGGAAGCGAGGGTCTTGCTTGCTACCCAAACTGCTGGCTCGGCTTGACATGACTGAGAAAAAAATGAGTGGCGCGAGCCAGTCATACAAAGATGGGATAAGGGAAAGGGTGGGACAAGGGACATGCCAGTCATACATCATCACCATCCATACCATACCCATGCTATGCCATCATCACCACACCCTATCACACCCATTCCATAACCACCATCACAAGTATCCCCACCCCATCACCCACGTCAGCAGCGTCGCCAGCCCCTCATCCGCCTCGCTGGCGCCCTCCGATTGGAGGAACAGTCGTGTCGCCCGCCCAAGCGCCACAAAGAACCCAAAAACCGCCAGCTCAGCTTTCAGGCTCTCCCCTCCCCCCTCCCCCACTCCCCCCCACTCCCCCTCCCCCTCCGCCCAGTCCTCGAAAATTTTCTCCCGGACCAGCGCTGCCCGCAGCTGCCGCTCCACCAGCTGCACCCAGAAGCGGCGCTCGCCGGGCAGCACACGAAAGTTCAGGTGCCCGCCCGCACGCTGCCCGAAGTGCGAGAGGAACTCGGCGCGCAGCCCTGCTCTCACGGCATGGCGATACACGTCGTCGATGTCCGCTGCCCTCAGGAGATGGTCGAAGAGATGGCGCAGCTGCAAGGAGGGGGGATTCAGGAAGGAAGAATGGGGGAGAAGTGGGAGGTTGAAGTGAGGCAAGAGTAACTCGGCGCGCAACCCTGCTCTCACTGCATGACGGTACACGTCATCTATGTCTGCTGCTCTCAACAGGTGGTCGAACAGATGGCGCAGCTGGGTGGGTTGGGGGAAGGGAATGGGAGAAGGGGGACGGAATGAAACGAGGCAATGGCCCATTAGCCTGCTGCTCATCAGCCCTCCACCATACACTCACCTGCCCTCCGCTGCTTCACATACCATAGTTGCCTCACATGCCACAGCCTTTGCTTCTCATACTCGCCCTGCTGTTGCTGGCACAAGCGGTCGGGCGGCTGCTAGCCGTGAATACTCTCCAGCTCCTTCTGCTGAGACTGTTTCACCGTTGGCCTCTCTAGATGCTGCTGCGACGAAGCAAGGTAGCAGCAGCAACAGGCAGGTTAACTCGGCGAATCTACAAGCTTTGATCCTATGAGTGATGACCTGTGGGACTTCTCGTTCGTTGAACCGTTGGAGGCATTGATTCAGTGGGAGGTAGAGAGCCAGTGGGACGATGATGCTGCAGGCAGTGCTTCTGTTGTCGATGTTGCTGCTTCTTCTGATCCAGTTTCACCGTTACCCCACTGGTGTTTGGATGCGCCGTTGCTCAAGAAACCGGAGGAGTTGGAGGGAGAGAAGGAGCTGGAGGAAGAGAAGGAGCAGCGCATGGCGTTTCCGTCTCGCATTTGTTGAAGGAGCTGCTCGCAGCGATTCAGCAGCGCAATGCTAATGCACCATCATCCGGCTTTCCCTCGCCTATGATGAAAGCCGGATTATGGTGCTCAGCATTGCGCTGCTGAATCGCTGCGAGCAGCTCCTTAAAAAAAGCGAGACGGAAACGTTACCCAGAGCCAAAACTGCATCAGCCATGTGCAGCTCCTTCTCTCCCTCCAACTCTTTCTCTCCCTCCAACTCCTCCGGTTTCTTGAGCAGCGGCCCTCCAAACACGAGTGGGCTAATGGTGCAACATCGACAACAGAAGCACTGCCTGCAGCATCATCGTCCCACTAGCTCTCTACCTCCCACTGAATCACTGCCTCCAACGGGTTCGTTGCCTCCAACGGTTCAACGAACGAGAAGTCCCACAGGTCATCACTCATAGGATCAAAGCTTGTAGATTCGCCAAGTTAACCTGCCTGTTGTTGCTGCTGCTGCTACCTTGCTTCGTTGCAGCAGCATCAAGAGAGACTGGCAGCAGCAGGGCGAGAAGGAGAAGTGAAGGCTGTGGCATGTGAGGCAACTATGGCATGTGAGGCAGCTGTGCCGATCCACCCTCCACTCCTCACATGGTCCCCCAACAGCACAGAAAAGGTCACAACTGCTTACCTACGCTCCTTGACATAGATCACCTTCACCCTCCCTCCACCACCGTCCTGGTCCTCCACCCTATGCTCCAATGCTCGCCACATGCCCACGACATGCTCGCCCCATGCTCACCACATGCTCACCACATGCTCACCACACATGCTCACCAAGTGCTCACCACATGCTCATCACATGCTCATCACATGCTGAACACATGCTCACCACATGCTCACCACATGCTCACCACATGCTCACCACATGCTCACCACATGCTCACAACATGCTCACCACATGATCACCACATTCCCACCTCTTTCTCACCTCATTCTCACCTCATGCTCACCTGCCCATCCACCAGCACCGAGGATGCGGCGCAGCCAACAGCGTTGAGTCACCTTATCCCTCCCTCTATTGCTCACCTGCCCCTCCACTCCACTCCCCACCACCCACCTGATACGCCAGAAGCACAGAAAAGGCGGCGCAGCCAACAGCCTGGGGCGGAGCAGAGAAGTGCACGGCACTGATGATCTCCCTCTCTCCAGGTATCTCAAAACTCTCCGCTGCTCTCCTCGCCTACCCCTCCTCCACCCTCTCCTGCTCACCTGATCCTCCAGCAGAACCGAGAACGCGGCGCAGCCAACAGCCTCGGGCGGGGCAAAGAAGCGCACGGCGCCGATGATCTGGAACAGCAGCAGGAACAGCGCCATGTCACTGTCCGCCAGCCGGGCGGCACCTGCCACGTGGGCAGACGACAATGTGCCACGTGGCGCCAGCGATGCTGACGTGGCGGTGGGTGAGAGAGCGGCATGAGGAGGGTGGGGGAGCCCGCCGTCCAGCCCAGAGGCCTTGGCGGATAGCTGCACGTCCTGGCTGGATGGGGGAAGGGGAGAGACGGAGGGGTGGTGGAGTGCGGTGCAGTGAGGTGCTGGGGTGAGCGGGGTGGGGTGGGGTAGCCCGTTGCCCAGCCCAGAGGCCTTGGCGAATAGCTGCACGTCCTGGCTGGTGGGGGGAATGGAGGGAGCAGAGGCAAGGGGGAGATGCGAGTGGGGCATATCGGTGGCAGAGTGCGGTGCAGTGCGGTGCTGGGGTGAGCGGGGTGGAATGAGGTAGCTCATCGTCTAGCCCAGAGGCCTTGGCAGATAGCTGCACGTCCTGGCTGGTGGGGGGGGAGCAGGGGGGAAGGCAGGGAGGGAGGGTGAAGGAAGAGGCAGAACGGAAGGGGAAAGATAAGGGGGGAACATATCAGTGGGGGCACGTCAGTGGGGGCATGTTGGCAAGCAATGGCAGATCGTATCATGCATGCCCCCACTGCCTTTTCACATGCCCCCAACCTGACCGTCTCACATGGCGGCAGTGATAGCGTTGCGGTGCAGCACGGTGAGCATGGTCAGCAGCAGCACGAACAATATGAGGACATATGGGAGGGAAGGCAAAACAGTTGGGGCAGAGAAGGCACATGACCCAAACATGACTGTCTCACATGGCAGCAGTGATGGCATCGCGGTGCACCACGGTGAGCATGATCAGCAGCATCACAAACAACAACACAATACCTTACTCACTCATGAGGGGAAAGAGAGCACATGATGATTCCAACCCCACCGGCTCACATGGCGGCAGTGATGGAGTATCGGTGCAGCATGGTGAGCATTGTCAGCAGCGCCTCAAACGCCCCTGGATACGCCCTCCCCCAGAACCACCCGTCCATGCCCCCCCCATCCGCCTCTCCCCCACCCTGCTGCTCCCTGCCCTGCAGCTCCTTCTGCTGTGCCAACTCATAGCGCATGAAGCTCTCTAGAGGCTCGCATAGACGCGCCAGGCTGAATAGAACCCACGTGGACGCGTCACTGCCGCCCGAATCGGCCTCTCTGCCGCCCATACTGGCCCTTCTGCCGCCCCCACTGCCGCCCGCCCTGCTCTGCCCCTCTGCTTCCCCGCCCTCCGCCCTGCTCTGCCCTTCCTCCTCCGCCGCCCTCTCCCTCACTCTCCCCATCTCCCACCCCTCCTCCCCGTCCTCCTCCGCCGCCCCCCACTCCTCCTCCGCCTCTTCTTCGCTACAGCCGCTGCTGCTGTAGCTGCTGCTGCTCCTGCGGCGGGTGAGGCGGGCTGTAGCAGGGGCAGTCCCCGGTGCCGTTGCATGCGCGTCTGACGCTCTACCGGATGCTTTATCAGCTGTAGCAGCTGTAGCGGCTGTAGCAGGGGGTGCAGTGGTGACGGAGCGAGCGATTAACTCCATAGTCGCTTTCAGCAGCGCCACCACTGCTGCCTGAAATGCACAAGGAGCATGGGAGCATGGGAGCATGTGAGCATGTGAGCATGTGAGCATGGGAGCATGTGAGCATGTGAGCATGTGAGCATGTGAGCATGTGAGCATGTGAGCATGTGACCATGTGAGCATGAAGCATTGGGAATGGTATGAGGTGAAGAGTGGGGGTTCTTAGGGCCTGCTCTTATTTTTGAGTCCACTCAAAAGCCACCTGCTGCACCAACGACCATCAACTCTGCACTGACTGACCCTTCCCCCTCTTCACGTTGCTTCTAAGTCTCTCACAAACCAGCTCGTTCCCCATCCCTCCTTCACCCATGCCCATCCCACTCCCCATCACCGCACTGCACACCTGGCACCCGACGCGCTTCACCCATTCGTCCGTCTCTCCGCCGCCCGGCCCCGCGAGCGCGAGCCAGCTGCCCACGCGGAAGAAATCCCCCGCCGCCCCCCCTCTGCTGCGGAACTCCCGCACCTCCTCCTGCACCTTCCGCGACGCCTCCGCCAGAGCTTCCGCCAAGTCCCGCCACGACGACTTTCTCCGCCCGGGAGGGCCGCTAGCTCCGCCGCTTCCGCCGCTTCCGCCGGTTCCGCCGATTGCGCCAGTAAGTCCGCCTAATCCGAGCCCCAGCAGCGCGGATCCCCCCGCGACTTGCTGCGAAGCTAGCTCCTCCTCCTCAAATTCCTTCCGCCAATCCCACGGTTCACCCATCTTCACCGCACCCAACTCCTGCTCAGATTCCTCCGCTTCCCCTTCCGCCAAATCCCGCGCGAAAGCGGATAAGCGGATTCGCGCGGTCAGCGCAGTCAGCGCGTTCCACCAGCGGGGTTGCTGCCAGCGCAAGTCCGCGGCGTCGCGGCGGAGATATCCGCGCGGAGCGGACCAGGCGGAGGCGGAAAGCGCGGACGGCGCGGACTCGTGGCGGTGGAGCTGACCAGGAAGCGGGGGGACAACGTCCGCGGGAGGCGCGCGGTCGCGGGGAGAGGGGAAACAATCTGAGGCTGGTCCCGAGGGCTCGCGCGGCTCGGCGGAGACGGAGGGATTGTAGGTGCGCGGAGGGCGGTGGGGAAGCTCTAGCCCGACTTCCCCAGTCGCACCGACTATGGGCTGAGCAAGGTAAGACATGTGCAGCCTGCACCAGATAAATATAGGGCAGATGGATTCGAATGGTGAATTAATAAAATTTGTATAAATCAATTGACAGCGTCAGACATCGGTCCCATGATCTAGCGGTTATGATGTCAGACTCTGAATCTGAATGCCCGAGTTCAATTCTCGGTGGGACCTTTTGCCTCTCTTCTATGTCACCAGATTCGACTTTTTGACAAAGGATCGGACACGTGTCTATGTCTCAATGGCTTATAGCTAACTGCCACCGGCTCGACTGTGGGGGACGTGCTTGACGACCAAAATGAACCACCATCCATCGTTTCGATCGTTACGACCCTGACGACAGTCGCGCGATGCAACTTTGCTTCGCCAAACTTGGCCGTCGTACACCAAAAACCCCACTGTTTGGGGGTCGTCAGTGTTCGTGCAGTGTCGGAGGGGGTCGTTCAAGCAGTCGTCTGTTTTCGAGGTGGCCTGTTCGTACCAGCCCAGAATTCTGGCTGCAATTCTGTAACGACAAAAAGAGCCACCAGCTGTGGTCCTTATTTTGACTTCTGTAGCCACAGGACCGAGGTTGCACTAAGTAGTGAACATCAAGCGAATCGCGAATGTAACTTACGGTTTTCTTCTATTAAAAAATGAACTGTTTCATTCATCGCCCCGTGTTCTGGGAATCATCGAACCTAATGACGGCAGCGACGGTGGGCGACGGTGGCGACTGTATCGCATGGGGTTGCGCGACGCAGCTGTGCTCCGCCCGCATGCCGCTTTTTCCCCCTCCGCGCGATCCCCCCCGGCCCCACCTGACGGTGGTACCATCAGCGAAGCACCTCTCGCGGCGGAGCAGGCTCCGTCCCCATACCGCTCGCTACTAACCCTCGCGACGCACCGCGTCGTCGCACTCATTCTCCTCGCGGCGTGCGTCGCGGCGGGGCTCCTCGCCTCTCGCGCGCGCAGCACCGCGCCGCTGCCGGAGGCAAGGAGGGCGGAAACGGCCGCGACGGGGCTGCTTGCCTCTCGCGCGCACAGCCCGGCGCAGCTGCCGGGGGCGTGGGGGGCGCCGGAAACGGCAGGCGAAGAGGAAAGAACCGAAAACGGCGTGGGAAATCGGAATCCCGGAACTCAAAAATCGAAAATCCGGAAATCGAAAATCCGTAATTCGGAAATCCGGAATTCGGAAATCCGGCAGTCGGAGTTAGAGGCGTGGGAGCAGCAGCGGCGCGTGTATCGCGACGAGGTAACGCGCGCCGTCGCGCGCGGGGAGCGGTACTACCTGCTATCCTCCGCGACTGACCGTTGCGTGGGGGAGTCGCACTGGTCGTGGTCGCTGCGCTGCGCGGCGGCGGAGGCGAAGGCGCTTCGGCGCGCGCTGGTGTTGGTGACCGACCGTTGCTTGCACCAGGCGCACTCGCGGACGGGCAGGGACGAGCATGGACACGTGGGGCTGTATTACAACCTCACCACCATGATGAGGTGAGGGGGAGGAGACGGAATTGTGTTGTACTGTGCAGTGCGGAATGGTGTGTTGCGGTGCGGTATGGTGTGGTGTGGTGTTGTGTGATGCGTTTTCAGGCCCGCTTCGCCTCGTGGGAGTGGGACGCCACACCCACGCCCTTTTTCCACTTCTGTTTTCACCCCAATCCCCTCACTCCCCGACTCCTTTCAGCTGGCGACCAATCGTTTTCTTGGAGCATTTTCGGCTTGTGGGAGTGGGACGTCATGCCCAACCCATGCCTTTCTCCCTCTTACGTTCCCCCCCGCCCTAGCCGGCAACCGATAATTTTCTTGGAGAATTTTCAGGCTCGCTTCGGGTCGTGGGAGTGGGACGTCATACCCATGCGCAAGTTCCCCATCGGGCCGCGCATGGGCGAGCTGGCCGTGTGGAGGAACGTGTTTCTGGTGGTGCGTGCACCGGAGGAGGGGCAGTATGGGTTCATGCTGTGTGACAAGCAGCACAAGCAGGTAGACATGGGCAATGTACCGAGTCGAGTAAAACTCGACTCGGTCTAGGCTAAAACTCGACCGAGTTCGAGCTCGAGTCGGGTGAAACTCGGTCGAGTTTTTTTGCCAAGGTTCTGGACTCGAGACTCGACTATATAAGGGCGAGTTTTTAAAAACTCGACCGGGGCTTTTCATACACTCGGCCGAGTCCTAGTTAAACTCGACTCGGGGTGACGGGGGGGAGGGGATACATCATATAAAAGCTGGAATTGAGGCACGGTGGGTTCCTCATAGCCGTCTCCACCTGGTCTTCCTCCTCCGCCCCTCCCGCATGATCGGCACGGTGGGTTCCTCCCGCCCCCCCTTTTCCGCCTTTGGGGTTCTTACTTGCCATGTGCTTGTCCTTCGCCATGCTAAATCAGTAGATCGACCGTTAAATTAATAAATAGTAGCGTTTCCTCCTCCTCAAACCCTAATCGAAATCAACCATACAATAAAACCGCGACCCTAACTAAGTGTGAACCTAGATCTATGTTGCCCCTATGGCGATCGGAAGTTTAAGAAGAAAAAACAGCCGGGCGTTTGGCTGGTTTGGCTCTGGAAACTACGGACGACATCATGGGGAAGGTGACTGACTGAAATCGCGATTTGAAAATGGACCCGCAAAACTTCAAATTTCGAAATTTGTATGCCCACCCCTCCCCAATGTCGCGACGAGTTTTTCGTAGACTCGTCGAGTCCAGAAAACTCGACGAGTCTGGAAAAAACTCGCCATGGGGCCCGAGCCTTGACCGAGTTTTTAAAAAACTCGGCGGGTAAAACTCGACTCGGCCCGGTCGAGTTTTTCCAAGGGGGAATCGCACTCGACACTCGACCAGTAACGAGTCCCCCGATCGAGTCGAGCTTAAAAACTCGACTCTTTGCCCATGTCTACAAGCAGGTGAATGGAAGGGCGTCATGTGTATGATCGCAAGTTCCCGACAGGCCCGCGCACGGGGGAGCTAGCTGTGTGGAGGAACGTGCGAGGGCGTCATGTGTATGATCGCAAGTTCCCCATCGGCCCGCGCACGGGGTAGTATGGATTCATGCTGTGCGATAAGGAGCACAAGCAGGTGAATGGAGGGGCGCGGGAGAGTGGGATGCGTGGAATGTGGGAGAGAGGGACAGTACGGGTTTATGCTGTGCGGCAAACAGCACAACCAGGTGTGGAATATGGGAGCGGAGGGGCAAGAAGCACAACCAGGTGTGGAATATGGGAGCGGAGGGGCAAGAAGCACAACCAGGTGTGGAATATGGGAGCGGAGGGGCAAGAAGCACAACCAGGTGTGGAATATGGGAGCGGAGGGGCAAGAAGCACAACCAGGTGTGGAATATGGGAGCGGAGGGGCAAGAAGCACAACCAGGTGTGGAATATGGGAGCGGAGGGGCAAGAAGCACAACCAGGTGTGGAATATGGGAGCGGAGGGGCAAGAAGCACAACCAGGTGTGGAATATGGGAGCGGAGGGGCAAGAAGCACAACCAGGTGTGGAATATGGGAGCGGAGGGGCAAGAAGCACAACCAGGTGTGGAATATGGGAGCGGAGGGGCAAGAAGCACAACCAGGTGTGGAATATGGGAGCGGAGGGGCAAGAAGCACAACCAGGTGTGGAATATGGGAGCGGAGGGGCAAGAAGCACAACCAGGTGTGGAATATGGGAGCGGAGGGGCAAGAAGCACAACCAGGTGTGGAATATGGGAGCGGAGGGGCAAGAAGCACAACCAGGTGCAGGTGCATGGTTTGGAGGGACATCACGAGTGCGTGTGTGGGTGCAATGGGGCGTAGTGTTGACGTGCCCATACCTGCACCTGTGTTCTATCCGTGCTTATGTCCCCATCCCCTTCCCCACGCCAGGACAACGTCGCCTTCGACCCGAGTCCCTCTTTCCCAATGATGCATCCACCCGCCTCACAGTTACTGCCTCATGCTCACACATGCATGCATGCATCTGCATCCATCCGTACCCCTGTCCCCATCCCCATCTCCATCCCCATCTCCATCCCCATCCCCAGAACCAGGACAACATTACATTCGACCCTGAGTTTCTCTTCCCTAATGACGCATTCACCTGCCTCAAAGTTACTCTCACGCACTCAAGCATGCATGCACCTTGCACCTGTGACCCTGCACCTGCATTCTATCCGTGCGCATGTCCCCATCCCCTTTCCCATCCCCAGAACCAGGACAACATCACATTCGACCCTGACTTCCTCTTCCCCAACGACGCATTCACCCGCCTCGCACACGCCATGGCTGATGCCATGGGCGGCCCACACCGCTTTGACTACATACACGTGCGGCGGGGGGACAAGCTGGACGCTAGGCGCTGGCCGCACCTGGATCGAGACACCCGGCCCGAAGCGTGAGTGCTCTGTTGAACCTGCCCTATCTGTCAAGAGTGACAGCAGCACCGCTTTGCCTATGTGCATGTGCGGCGGGGGGACAAGTCAATGCCACCCAGTGGCTGGCCCCATCTGGATCGAGAAACGCGGCCCGATGCGTGAGTTCCAATTAGATATGCACCGTCTCGGGCTTGAAGTGCGGCTCCCATATAGCTGGTCGCAGCAGCACCGCTTTGCCTATGTGCATGTGCGGCGATGTGACGGCGACACCCGGCCACCTCATGCCACACACTGGCCTCTATTGGACCATGGCACATGGCCTGTTTTTTGAGAATTCTCAAAAAACACGCTTTGGACCATGACACATGGCCCGTTTTTTGAGAATTCTCAAAAAACACGCTTTGGACCATGGCACATGGCCTGTTTTTTGAGAGTTCTAAAAAAACACGCTTTGGACCATGACACATGGCCTGCAGTGTGAGCTGCCTGAAGTGAGACGATTTTCGAGTCGACTCAAAAATCGTCACACTCGACCTGAAGTGTACGCTGCTTGTGACAACTTTCTGAAGTGACAGCCCGCCCTGCCCGTGCCATCCCTCTCACCCCAGTCTCCTGCAGAAGCTCCCATCGCTCGTCCCGCCAAACACCACTCTCTACATTGCAACCAACGAGCCACACCCCCACTTCTTTGACCCTCTTAAGGCTGCATACAGCGTGTACATTCAAGACGATTTTGAATCTCTCTGGGCCAAAGGGTCGGCGTGGGAAGCCGAGATGAGGGAGGTTGCGGCTTCGGTGGGTGTGGCGGTGGGGGAGAGGGTGGAGTTTGGCAGTGAGATGCAGGTGCTGGTGGACTAAGCGCTCAAGAAGCTTGCGAGGCGGACGGTGGAGACGTTTAACGACCTGACTGATGATCCCAAGGACGGTGAGATGCGGTGGAGAGTGGTGACATGCGGTGGAGAGGGGTTGTTGGGGGAGTTTGGCAGTGAGATGCAGGTGCTGGCGGATTATGCGATCCAGAAGGTTGCGAGGAGGGCGGTGGAGACGTTTAACGACCTGACTGATGATCCCAAGGACGGTGAGATGCGGTGGGGAGCGGTGGGAAGGAGGAGGGGAGGTGGTGGGAAGGTGGAGCGGAAGTGGTGGGGAAGTGTTGGGGAGTGTTGGGGAGGTGGTGGGAAGGTGGTGTGTGTGTGAGTAGCATGTCATGTCATCAAGCCTTGTTACCATGCTCCCCCATGCTCTTCCATGCATTATCTTGCTCTACCTTGCTCTGCCTTGTCCTTCCTTGCCCAATATACTTCCTTCCTCTTTTTCAATTCCTCTTGCTCCACATCAGTGCCTTCCCCACGCTCCCATCCCTCCCCCCAAACCCCCATTGCGTTATCTCCACTCCATTTTTTTTTCCCCGTCATGTTGACTCTCTTGTGGTCTCATCTTTCCCCACTGCATTCCCCCCACTCCATGGCCTTCCCTGGCAGGCGTTGTAGGGCCTTAGCACACATGGTGACGGGTGCGTGGGGCATGGGGTGACGGAGCAACATAGTTTATCAAACAAAAGTAGTGTACGGTCAAGATGCATGTATTATGTACAGAGAGCAACACATATTGTACAAAATCGCAAGATAAATCAGGGTGCTCTTCAAGAACCCTGACAAGCAGAGAAAACACAGATGACATGGTTGTTTTAGAGACAGAGGGATACACTACAGATAAATCTATCCCTATATTTCTATATTGCAGCACCGTGATTTTGAGCTGAAATGGGCATCCACCTTGGCTGGGTCTCCAAAGGTCAAACGCGGTTTCTGTGAGTCCGAGTGGCCCCCCGTGCCAAGCAAGGGTCATTCTGTATCTCCCTACCATAATTGCCTTCGCTTCGCGAATTTTACATCCGTGACTATTCGTTCGTGATACAGTACGAGGGGGTTGGAAAAATTTCCTTGGGAGACGACCGCAACATGTGATTTTGACGAGAATCGCCACAGGTAGATGGGGTTGCGACGGCATGGCTAACGACTGAGTTACCAGCTTGGGCTTTCAAAAACGGTTCTGTTCCACTCCACACCCTTCCTGGCAGCAATTAGGGCGCGTGTCTTTTGAAATTTAGGCCAAAGTTCATGTGTTTTAGTCGAATTTTTGCAATTGAACACAGGTCGACCTGTAGTCGTCTATCTTGTCATTTCATTGTCGAGTCGCATGTTCACCTTGACGTGGAGCACATGGCACAAGAAATGCTCGACTTTCAAAGGTCCAATTTGTACAGTAAAATCTGAGTCGCACCAAGTTTCGTAGGTTACCCTGTCTATACAGTATGTTCGTTAGCACTTTCAACTCTGGTAATCTGGCGCGAAGTGGTTCGTAACCATCGCGAATCTCGCAGCTTCTTCGAAGAACACACGATTGGAGAAACGTGCTCGGGGATAGTCGAATGCGAGGCCGACCCTAGTTCAGTGTCCTTCTGTTTCAGCAACTTTGAGCTTGGACACACGTTCGTCGTCAATAGCTCTGTACGAAATTGGCAAAGCTGGCTACCATCAAAAGTTCGACCTTTTTCGAACTTCTACACCAAAAGACACGCGCCCTTATTTGTTCTTGGGGGGTGGAACATCCTGGGAACCTCGAAAAAGACCGGACCTTACCGCTGTGAAACGAATTTAAACGATACAGAATCGTAGCAGCACAGCATGGACCGATTTAAACCGCAATTGAAATTCGGACTTGACTGAAAATCTGCAGGATGCGCCTAGCGACGCTACATCCTTGATTACTACAATTATGGTCATTCTCAGCCAGCATAACAGCTACTTTAGGCACCGTGAAACGCGATTCTCAGGATATCACAATTTCGAGTCCCCGTGTCTTCTGCATTGCGACAACACCAGCCGATTCCATACCTTAGCTAGCTTCCATGGCTCCACGGTACCTTCGGAGCGAGCGTCTCACCTCCGCCATCTCACTCTCCATCGCCATCGCATTGATTCTGGTACCGTTAGCGCGCGCTCAGCAGTGCTCGAGCTCCGTGGCGTGTAACCTGACGAGCCTGTGCTGCAGGTTAGTCTAAAGACGTCTCACATATCGAGCCTGTTGCTGGTCAGCTCAATGGCGCTCCTCCCCAAGTTCCTGTCCGCTTGGAGTCGATTTTCATGCTTCACAACCTTAAAGTCCTTCGGTGCTTCCGGAACACATTCATTTTCATATAGTACCACTATTTCAGACATTTCTAAAAGTCGAGTTCAGAACACAAATTCAAATTCTAAAAATGAGGCCAATCCCGACACCTTTCAAGCTGATGTTTGCTTTCACGGCGGAAAAGTTCCCCTCACCCTCAAAACACCTCGACCGCGGCCTCGTATATTCGGCATCTCATACATTCGCCTTCTTCTCTTTCCCCTCTCTTTCTCCCGCTCTGTCCGTAACCCTCTTTCCCCTGCCTCGAACCCTCCTCTACAAAATTCACAACGCCACATACCATGCCCAAATCTCGGTTTTCCCCATCTTTGCACACTAACCTTTGCACGAGCAATGACTAGGGTTACGTGAAACAGTGTTTAGGAGGGTAAGCAGTGCTGAACCTTTGCTGTAGGATAGGTGAACAATGTCTCCCCTTCCCCATTGTCTCTACAGCCGCTAGTAGTTCGCTTCCAAACCGTCCCACATGTGCCAACTTGTGCTAGTACATCGAATATACTTCGGTTGTGTTGGGTGTACAGTGGTGCCGAGCTCGCATGAATCTGGCATTTGAACTTGCATCGACGGAGGTTTAGTGGTGTTATAACCGAACAAACTATAGCGACACTTGAATCAGATAAGGTTTTGCTGACGCGTTAGAAAACTGCGTCGCGTCTGAAGGTGCGGTGTCACATTCAAATGTGACAGCGCGGGTGTGGTTTAGTGAGGCGAACAGAAACCCAAAATGCCAAGGGTTTCGATTTCGCCAATTTCGTCAGGTTCCCTCAGAACACAACGCAGCGAAATCTTTCCCAAATGTTGAATGATCTCGCCAACCCTTTCTCGATTTTGCCAGTCCGCACGTGCGACACAACACCACACTGCCCTGCCACCTTCTAGTGCGTGAGATGCTCCCCTCAACCTTCAAACCCAGTCCACAGATCGAACCTGCTCATTTCACGTCTTACAATCTCGTGCACCGTTTTGTTCACTCAGCTTCCTCCGTCCTCCGGTTGCTCCAACCCACCCGTTTTTGCCCCATATGCGCGTTCTTAATACGTGTGTCTTTCTGTTTTTGCATCCTCCCTCTTACAGGCTAGTGAAAGACTGCTGGGCGGACGGTTTACGCTTTGAAGTTTGACTCGCTGCATGAAGCTCGCGATCAGGCTACATTGTCACGCCCTATTCCCGATGGTAAATTCATGATCAAGTTAGGTGAGCTTTTGATTTACCCAAAAACGCATTGTCTACTACGCCGTTGTGAGTACGTGTTTCTTTGCAGAATACCAGCGCGTGTGACAACGCTCTATACCAGCGACTTCTGTGACTATCGCCACGCGTCTAAAAAGTTTAATCAAAGCTTATATTTTCCCTAAGTCTTATCGCCATCTTATTGCCGAACAAATCACGGTTCTTCGAGGCGTTTCATAAGATACAGTTCCGAGGTGGTCAATGGCATCCATGATCGGTAGGTTCATCTGAGGTTTTTTTGTCGCCCGTTACATAGCGTGCTGGTTCTATGTCGACCTAACTCTGCTGCGCTTTCTGCAGAACCCTCGTCCCGCCAAAAAAAACCTGGTAGTTACTGCATGTTACATAGCTGCTGTGTGGAGCGTGATGTAAGCAGCTATATAAATAGGATATTAGGTGATTGTTGTTTTGTCTATGGGAAGGCACACTAGGTGGTGTGATTTTGACTTTTCTTTATGTATGGCATGAGTTGTAATGTAAGAGCTTTGGATTGCTGGTTTCGGTCCATGACTCACGATTTTGCTGTTTGCGGTAAACATAATTTCCTGGACTCTAAAATATGTTGCATTTTTATGGTGTTTCTATATACTCAGAAATATATGAAACTATTTATTCGTTACAGAAACTCTAATACGACAACTGACAAGTTTCTTTAGCGAGGATGAGCAATGTTTGGAGGATGTTGGTGCACTCCTTGCCGAGCCTGATGAAGATTGGTCAGGCAAACCTTTCAAGCACTCCTCTAACAAACCTGCACTTTTGAGCATTCCACATGATAAACCACAAGCATTGATGGCAGGGGAAAACATCAAACACTCCCCCAGCAATCTTTTTGCATTCTTTTTCCGTTCCGAATTTTGTAGAGTCCTTGCCCGCAGCAAGGATGGCTATTGCGGAAGCAGTGACGCCTACTGCGGTGCGGACTGTAAGAACGGGCCGTGCATTTCTGGTGAGGACGATTCTGTTGATTTGGATGCCTCGGATAATCTGGATAGATACATGATACAGATTTTAGATGAATACTGATGATTTAAACAATTCCGACAATTTGACTAGATGACTCAGGTAAATATTTCAATCCAGTTAATTCGGATAATCGGCGCGGGTAATGCCATTCCATAGCATGTGTATCTCTCTCTACCGTAGAGAGAAAGAAGAAAGGGAGAGCACGCGTACCTAACATGTGCTAGAGCACGTGTATCTCTCTCACCTAACATGCTCTTTCATATCCATTCTTTCTCATGTTTCCATGCATACACACCTAGCACATCCATGCATGCACACATAGTATGCATGCATTCATGATGCATGTACACACTATGCATACGTGCATGCACATAGTATCCATGCATCCCTGCATGCACTCATTACAATGCCACCTTACTGTCCCTTCCCATCCTATTTTTCTTAGGGACAACAACGACCACTCAACAGCAGTGCTCCAGCTCCTCGCCATGTAACCCGCCGAGCCTATGCTGCAGGTCAGTTTGAGAGGACTCACAACCCGAACCTAGGCTTCAGGTTTGTTTGAGGCGTCTCACAACCCGAGACTATCATGCTGCTCATCATGTCAATGCCACTCCCCCCCCCCCCTTCTCCTTCCATTTTGAGTCGTTTTCATGCTTTCAGAACACGACATTTTATTCCGTTAGTGCGTTCAGAACACGCCCTTTCTGTCCTTTGTTGCTTTCGAAACACGCCTTTTTGGTACTTAGGTGCTTTCATTCCTCCACCTGGTGCGGAAGAACGCCTCCTACTGCGACACAGGTGCTCTA